TCTTCTAAGAATAAGTAGTAAGGCCTTCAGATGGAGAAGATATAATAATCTCTAGGGTTAACTTTTTCACAGACACTTTATCTTTCTTAGAAGGAGTAATTAGCTTCATAGAATAAGATTAAATAGTAGATTCTAGTACTTCTTCAGCCTTCTTAATAGGCTAGTTATATATAATAAGGCTATTATTATTAAGAGCATAAAGTCCCCCTTACTTAAGGAATAGACTGCATGAATTAGAAAGGAATAAAATAAAAATAAGGAAGGAAAAGAGAATTTATATATATTAAGGTCAGGCTTCTAGACTCCTGATTTACTAAGGTAAAAAGAGTAATCTATACCTTTATTATTCTATATATAATTTGCACAGGCACTAGCATACAAAGAATAACATCATCCAGAAGAATTAATTATATTAGGGGCAGCTATATAAGAATGAAAGGTACTATAACCACCTACATAGGTAGAATATGGTTTAGATACCTTATTACTATATTATTATAGGAGGAAGGCATTACAGTTAGGTTATGTCTTAAGGTCCTTTACAAGAATCTGCTTATTTTAAGTAGCCTAGTTAATCTCTTATATAGGGTCCAGTAACATCGCGCAGGATGTTTAAGTGCTTATTAACTTATAGCTAATCTCTTTCTTAGCTACCTGCATGGTGCTAGCGCGTTCAGGAATATTAGGCATCTTAAAATTAATAGAATAAAGATGAAACAAGGCATAAAGAACACTAAAATACTCTATATCAGGGAATAACAACAAGAGACTATTAGTTTAGATAAGAAGGAGTTTAGCCAGGGAATATACTATTAAGGCTTAAACTATAAAATATTACACATAATAAAGTACTAAAGATTAAGGGTATTTATACCTAGGCTACACATGCTAGCAGTAAAGACTTACTTATTTATTTATAATTATTAGTTAATTCTACCTTTATTAATTCTTTTATTTATATATATTTATAAATAGTAATATTTACTATAATTCCCTATACACTGCTTAGTAATTACTAATTACTTAGGTAACTTATATATTAATATCACTAAGTGAAGGGATCCAATTACAACCCTTATATATTAATAAAGAAGACACTAAGCCACCACCACCCTGATTTCAAAGTTAGAGAACAAAGAATGATTTAGTTAATTCTGTAGATATTTAATAAAGAAATAATACTATCCAAACACCAGATCTAGCAATTAATATATCTTAGCAATAGTCAAACCCTATTTAGCTGTAATAACAGGTGCTAACTAAACCTTCCGCTTGCTGACTAAGAACTCTGCAGACAGAGTTCGATCTAAGCAGGGGAGGATGTGATATTAATTAATATGTGTGATTTTAATTAAGTCTACAAGGGTGCACAGAGGATATTGGAAGATGTCATCAGCATGTATATAACTATGTAGATTCTTACATTCCTTCATAGCTTAGGTAGGATTATAAAAGGGGCCAGAATCCCTTAATATCAGCGGGACATGTACAGGGCGGCCTTTAGCCTACCCCCTACCCTCACATAATTCAAAGGCTCTACGCCCCCTGCGATGAACGATTATCCCAATATCTATGCCCCTTTAAGAGGTGTTATATTAGAATATTAGGTTATCACAGGCATGTATCACCTAGGCGTGCTAGTAATTATTATTTAATCATCCACCAGGTACCTAGATATCTTGTGCAGGCTTTACTGACTGGACCACCTCGCAATTAGTTGAAATTAAAGCTTCTCAGTTGAATATCTGCCTCCTACTTCACTCACTACCTTAGGTAATTCCTGCCAGCTACTCCATGTGATTACTAACTAGGTGGTGCGTGGCCGCGCGGGAAGCAGCATGGCTGGAGGTATCAATGGTAAAAATTTATTTTGGCCGGTTTGTACATTCAGTCCGCCGTACCAAACGGCCCGTGTAAGGTCTTCTGGTTGAACGGTCGGTTTCAGCTTGGTCTGAAAAAGGAGCGCTCGACCAATGGAGAGCGAGAGGACTGGGCCTTCGGTGGTGGTAATCAAATGATTTCGGCACTTGGCTGTGGTAAACCCCTGCTACACAACGTTGAGCTAGAGAAGAAGATGGTCCTTATATTCGCTGGTGGATAATCAAATAATTCGGCACTTGGTTGTGGTAAGCCTGCCACACAAGGTTGAGCTAGAGAAGAAGATGGTCCTTACATATATAAGGGCTGCAGGAGAATGTGATTTACAATAGACAGCAGACACTCATTCCATTCATTCCTTTCTTTCTTTCTTTTCACGACACGTTCAGTACCTTGATTTCAAAATGCGAGCAGGAGCTCAGCATCTGCCATTCATTCTGTCATGCCTTCAGCTGGCCTCGGCATTTTTCAAGGTCCCCTGTAGCAATCCACTGGTAGTTGAGAGAGCGGATCCTATCGTCCAGCCAGGCGTTGCCGCAAGTCATGCCCATACTATCATGGGAGGCTCCGGTTTTGGGTTCACGATGGATTACAACCAGACGCAGGAGGCGCAATGCAGTTCCTGCTCGCCCATTGCCGACAAGTCCAATTACTGGATTCCCTCACTTTACTACCAGGCCGAAAACGGTAGCTTTACCCCAGTGCAGCAGAATGGGGGAGCTCTTATCTACTACCTGTACGACTTCAACCTTGCCCTTTAATATGGCTAGCCCTTGCCAGATACTGACCTGACCAGACAACGACCAGATCCAAAAAACCAAACTGTTCTAGCACCCCCGAAAGACCTCCGTATGGTTGCTGGGAACCCAATGGACCGGAAATACAAAGGCACGCACGAAGCAGACGCCCGGAGCTACGCTTGCTTGGACTATAACAGCCCAGCAAAGCCCGAAACAAACGGATTTCCAAACTATAACTGCCCAAATGGACTTCGATCTCAAGTTTTCTTTCCCTCTTGTTGGAATGGCGTGGACTATGATAGTCCTGATCACAAATCGCACATGGCATACCCGGTTGAATCGTATAATAGCGGCTCTTGTCCCGAGTCACACCCCATCAAGATCGTCTCCATCTTTATTGAAGTTATCTGGCAAACAGGTGACTTCGCAGATATGTGGTACGGAGACAGCCAGCCGTTTGTGTGGTCAAATGGCGACAAGACGGGGTATGGCTTACACGCGGACTTTGTCAACGGATGGGACGTGCCAGTCCTCCAAGAAGCAATCAATACCTGTGACGACATGAACGGTGATATCAGGAACTGCCATGTCCTTGATCTTTACGATGAGACAATAACAGAAGGCTGTCTCTTGGAACCATCAATCGACGAGAAACTAGATGGATGGCTCGACGCCCTCCCTGGTTGCAACCCCGTTCAACCAGGACATGAAGACGCAATAGCAGTCAAGTCCTGTACCGCACCAGGAATTGGAGAGCCGCAGCACTACTACACCGATGTTACTAAGGAACTAGGGTGGGCGTGGATCGGGTGTGCTCGTGATTACATCAATTTCGAGCGCGTCCTGACCGGGTCGAGCTCCAGTAGCGACGACATGACAGTTCAGAAGTGTATCCAAACTTGCGAGAGAGACGGTTATACCTATGCTGGGCTCGAGTATTCGCGGGAGTGTTACTGTGGGGATAGCATTGACCCTGAGAAGATGCCGTCTGTTTCGCCAATGGGCAAGTGTCTGCATCCTTGCAGTGGTGATTCTAGTCAGAATTGCGGTGGATCTAAGTATATCGGGCTTTATCAGGCGTGCGGGTCGAGCTGTGACAATCTTAAGTATCCGGCAGTTCCCGAGTGAGCCGAATTATAACTTTAGCATAGACAAGCAATGGCACCGAATCGGCAATCCTAATGTTATCCGAGCGAGGAGTGCACGGGGAGCGCTGTCTGTAAAAATAGGCAAGTGCTAGAGAGCAAGTACGTACCCTGATATATATAGGTCTTGCCGGTCTCGTGCATGAACCCGGAAGCTGTAACAAAATACTGTCTGGGGAACCAGATTGATCCGCCTGAGGAGTAGCTGTTGGTCCGCGAAAATGACGTTGTTCCGGAAGAGGTTTACTCTTATTGACTACAGAGATGTAGACTGGTGACTTGTTAAAGACAGAATGACAGCAGGTATCAGTCTGGGAGGGTTCCCTGGTCTTCACCCTCGCATCGTAGTGCCTTGAGTACACCGGGTTGACTGCCCCTAGCAGACACGGTCTCTTAGACTTGAAGTATTGTCAGAATAGCATGGCAGTTTGCTCCGGACTTTGTGATCGCTCTGAACAATGTGATAATCGTTGATCTCGATCGGCTACTCATTGCCCTGAGCCCCGGGAGGTATATTTTGTGCTCCCCCACCCAAGAATCAGGTGGTGGCGGATCTTCAACCAGGCCACGTTGACGACAAGGAGAAGGTCCACCGCACTTTAAGAGGATTAGAGTGTGCCCCTGGATTTGATGTGAATAAGTTACCGGGCGAGGGCCCCAAATCTCTGGCAAAGGCTCAGGTAGTCCCTAAAAGTTGGGATCTTCAGGAACTGCAACACTTAGCATTCGAAGGCGAGGGGGACCGTGGCACACAGGGCAATTTGATCCTCCTCCACATCTGCGAACACCATCACATCGGCGACAAGGTTATGGATTATGGCCATCGATCTGATAGCCATGGATGATCATTGATTTCAACCGTTGTAAAAAAGCGATTTAATCTATGAGATCACCCAGCTGTAAGATCATTCAACATCTAAATTCCCTGAAAGGAATCTACTAAAGGGAATCGTCTATAAATACACCCTTAAAAAACACCCTATAACTAGTTATAAAAATTATTAACCTTAATTGATAAATTAAGACTCTATTAAGTGATATTCTTAGCTACTTTATTCTAATATCCTTTTTTTTCTATTCTTCCTCTATACCTAGGCAAGCTATCTATTGATATCAAGTAATCAATAGGCCATGTTGTAAGATAAGACTGGAGACACGTAGTAACAACACCCCGGAATAAGCCAACCACATTCTTCCACCTCGACCATCCCCGATCGGATCTATAGCACATATCACCATGTCGAAAACTCTCTTTGATATCGTCTCCGAGTTAGATAAGCACGTATCCCTACAGTTCTTGCACCGTTTCAATCCATAGCCACTAACACATTATAGCTTCCCATACTACGAGGAGGCACCAGCCCGCTTCACCGACACGCTCAAATCCTACCATGCATTCAAAGTACAAGGCATCGATGCAATTCTCGGCTACATCCCAAACACCCTTGTACAGAGCATTCCCTGGCCAAAAGAACATTGGATGATCGACTGCGGGGCAATTGTCCTACTGAACCCCCCAGACAATGCAGTGTCCACACACACTCAAATCATCCAAAACGCAATCAATAGGATGATCGAAGCCGGGTACACAGACATCCTGAAAGGCTGGCGCAACGAGAGATTCCCTATCTACGGTCCCAGCGGCGACGTGATCCTGGAGATTGAGCGGTCCGCGAGCTCACTATTCGGTATTGTAACGAGCGGTGTGCAGATGCTTTGTTATGTTAAGGATGCAAAAAACGGCATTCGCCTCTGGATTGCCAAGCGCTCTATGCGGAAGCAGACCTATCCAGGTATGTTGGACTGCACTGCCGCCGGGGCCCTGAGCGCGGGAGAGTCGCCGCGAAGTGCCATGATGCTCGAGGCTACGGACGAGGCATCTATCGCGCGTGAGATTATCGAGAGTGGCATGAGATATGTCGGGGCTATCTCGTATTTCCACATGAAAGTCTCGTCTATCGCTTTGAGCGAGGGGTCCTCGACGGCTGTTCTGCTACCCGAGGTCGAATACCTATACGAGCTTCAGCTGGACGAAGGTACTGTTCCCCGGCCGAAGGATTCGGAGGTGGAAGACTTTCGGCTTTGGAATGTGGACCAGGTGCTGGACGCCTTGGGCAGGGGAACGTTTAAACCGAATAGTGCGGTTGTGGTGATCGACTTTTTAACTCGCCACGGTGTCATAACACCCGAGACGGAGCCAATGTGCAAAGATATCATAAGGAGACTGCATCGCCGGCTACCGTTTCCTACAGCAGACTGGTCTACATAATCATGCACATACTCTGATATCCTCATTAGAGGAGCCAGTGGAAAGACGGCGGCGAGCAAGACAAGCTACACTGAGGCTAGTATTTGCACCTCAGATTGAAACACTAACCGGTCGAGGTTTCAAGTCCCAAATGTTACTATACTCGGGGCTGTACCCTGGGCGCGCAAAGGACGAGCTTCAGATCCTTCACCAGGAGTAGGTGCCCATAATCTCATCTGGCATTGTAAGCTTTGCATGATTTAGATACCGCCGAATGAAAGTAAAGACGGAACAGCACGGACACTCTGATCTATCGCAAGTCTCAGACAATAGACCGGAAGTAGAACCTTCCTATCCGTCGCTCTGAGTATGTAGAAGGCTCCATTCGAACGGCACCTTGAAGTCCGGGATCGTTTCATCCTTCATTTATTGCGAGCCGGGTCTACAAGTCTAGGTCTGGTGTAGATGTTTGGCACTGCCGATAATCCAGCCTAGCCGATCGTTATTCCCGCACTCTGACAGTCTGAGGCGATGGCACAAGTCGGGGAATTCAAGCAATGATATACAACGGATATCCACCACAACAGCCCTATGTCTGAGAGAAAGGACGGTGGAACGAGAATTATGCTTGCACCGCCATACCGGCCACCACCGCACCCACAAACATCATCGGCGCGACTGTCCTGCCTGCGACGTTCCCAGAAGCCGTTGCGCTCGTGGCAGAAGTCCCTGCTACTGTCGCACCAGTAGTAGAACCCGTCGTTGTGGTCGTTGTCGCTCTAGTAGCAGTTGCCGCTGTGCCAGTAGGGAAAGGACCCGTCCCTGCCACAGTCAAAGTAGCAGAGACAATTTCCCGCACCTCAGTTCCAGGAAGAACATATGTCCTGTCACGAGTCACAGTGGAAGAGCGAATATGCCATGACTGGCTGTACGAGCAAGTGGCGGTGGTAGGCGTGGGAGTGCCAGTAAAGGTGCACCCGGTGCTTGTATATCTAGAATCATCAGCGCGCAGCAGTATTATTTCCATGGTAGAACACACTGCCCATAGTTGCTCATGATGAAGTCGTAGGCTGCGTGATCCGGTCAGTCATGTCCAATGAATGAGTGAATGGAAGGCCTACAGCTGGGAGCAGCGATCAATGTCGCATCTGGATCAAACCTGATACAGGCCGTTTTGTCACTTGTTGGAGGGCAATTAATTGCGTACGTCGTCGTTTCCCCGTTCTTGAGTCATGATCAGAATTATGATTGTCGATGGCGCCATGAAACATACTTCACTTATCACGCGACCCTCATAATCGTGCCAGTAGTTCCCAGAGCTTGCAAAGCCCACCCATGGCATGGTCTGTTTGGTATGAACACCATCATCTACAGTTTATAAAGGTTTTGTGTGATGGACCTACTAGGACAAATTCCGCCAGACCGAGCTTGAAACAGCCCAGCGGGACTAATAATGACAGGGCGTACATGGAACGCATTCTGTGAAAGTTGACCTGGACGTAAAGCTATCAGACCTCCCTGAATAAAACTGCTGGAAATGAGCATTATTTATGCTTACCTTCTGCTGAGCCTCGCTTCTCTGAGCTAGTGCCTGACCCGCTAGTTTTTCTTCTTAGGTTGCATTCAACACAGCGGTAAGGCCAATCATACTGGTTTCTGGCCAATAGCTTAGAACAAGCCAAGTCAAATCGAGCATAGAACGTCTCGCCAAGCAAGGTCTTACCAGAAGTCCTGAGTCATCGTCCAGGAAGGTCTATGCGGCTGATTTGAAGGGTATTGCTACAGGTTCCACCACTCTGAGCGAATCAAGATGTGCTCTGAAGCCGGGGTCAAACTGTTGTACCTGCCACCATACTCGGCAGACCTGAACCCTATGGAGGAACTCTTCTCTGAGCTTAAGAGTTATATAAAGCAGAACTGGGAAATCTACGAAATATGGCCTGATCAGGGCTTCGGTACTTTTCTGCAAACATGCATCGATACCGTCGGTGCGAAAAGAGACAGTGCTGAAGGCCACTTTCGACGTTCTGGTGTAACAATAGAAGTATTTGAGGAAGACGAATGAGTCAAAAGGACAATGTTTTAATCTCACTGTGCTACCTAATCAACAGCCAGTGAACTTTCGCAGTATTGACAGCGGTAAAATATACTTGCGGATATGACTTATGCATAAGAGTATTCAGCATTGTAGAAAATTATTCTATAGGAGATTCACAACAGTCTCACCGCCTAAAGTTTCTGTTTCCCGAAACCTAATGCGAAGATGTACCATATTAATTATTTTGGGATTTGGTCTGAACTTTATCCAAAAATTTACCCGCAAAGCATGGAAGGTGGACGGCTTTATATTACGAGTTCCAAATGCTTGAAGCTCATGATCAAGGCTCTTGGAAAAAAAAAGAGCAAACTCTCAAACTATGATATTCTTTCCTCATAAATAGTCCAAAACTCCGCTTATACATCAGATAAAGTAGCAGGATAAAAATATATACCTCTTCCACAAAAAGCCTAGGCTTCACAATAAGGTGCCATATGGTTCTGACCACCACCTAAATTGAGATCTTCTTGTTAGCAAAACTCTCACAGAGGTTTACTCTTACTGGAAATACAGACAATTAAAGCATCTCAAGGGCATCCGACAGTTTCACTGAGCGTGATTTCTCATCCCACCTATGTAGTATGAGTCAAATGTCTCAACAGGAGGGAGCCCAGGGTCTCTTACATCGTCCGCATTTAACATAACACGTATCTTCCAAATAATTGTCATGGCCACAATTGAAACACTCATCATTCCACTTTCAAGCTCGGAGAACATTATCCCACTGCTGTTCACTGTAATCTGATACGGCGCTGCTACTAGAAAAGCCTCCATGGCCGTCATTCGTCCAGCCTATAGGGCTGTAGCCAACGCCATGGATGTCCTGTGACTTAAGAATACTGTTAGATAAGATCGACATATATTATGATGAGACAGTGGCCGCTTACTGTGGGCGAAGATGGCACATTCGTTATGACTCTTGTGTTTCTGGTCTGATCCGCAGACACTGTGAGTAACAATTCTTTCGCATATGCTGCTGCCACTGCCGCGGCGTGTCCCTGCCACTCCTTATTTTTGTGTGAGTCTGCATAATCACAGATTCCACGTATTACGAGACATGGGTAGTTGTTCATGAGTCCCGCCGCTTCCATCTCCACACAGAGAACACCCAATTCGCGACCAAGCTTATCCCGTAGTTGACTGTCTTTCACCACTTGATTTGCCGATGCAATTAATCCATAGTGAATGACAGGATTGCTGTGCCCCGACCAGGACGCGGTACGGTTTGGGTTGTATCACAGCCATTGCAAGGTTGGGTGTGGTTGTTGGTATGGTCATAGTTATCAAGGAATAGATGATCTGTCTGTGTAGGACGAGCAAAATTTGCAGCTTGTTCTGTTGGTAGTTTCTGCTCAATCTCAGCAAGAAAATTCATCACTTGGCTTGGTTTTGTGTAATGAGTCGCTTTTAGTTTAGAAAGCGCCGTCAAGAGACTCGGAGGCGGACGGTTGAGCATGCCTGTCCGTCAAAATTCGCCGCCACTCAATGCTTTGCCGTGATCGTATTACACTACTCCCCCATGAGTATCGGTAGGCTCACTGACCACGATATCACCAAGTCGGATATCCTTATCCTCCTTCGGGACCCCTCCTCCAATTCCGACCATAAGACCAAAGCGAATTGAGTGGAAACTAGACAACAACTGCATAGCTACCGTAGTAGCAGGTGCAATTCCATATTCGCCGCTAGGCAGGCATGCAACCACAATATTATGTTCCCCAATATGTCCAAGAACATACTCGTTGTGGTCAATATGGTTGCTTGGGTAAGTCCTGTGCACCTCATCGAGCATAACTGTTGCAGCGGCCATTTCCAGTGGTAAGGCGCAGATCCATCCAACTGTATATTCATCACGTGAAAGACAGGTCTTACCCGCCATAGTGTATGAGATATAGGCCTGAGCAGGAGTGACTAGGTCAACAACAACAAAAAAAACATATGATAACTAGAAGTTATCATGATAACTTGAGGAATGGAGGATGAAAGTTATATGACTGTGGAGAGGTGGAGAGGGGCCCCTCGAGGGAGGGGGTGAGGAGGGAAAGACGCGAGGCTGGACGTGAGGCTGACTCCAGCCTTGCACAATAGCGCTTACGACTACTAATGTACCAACAGTTTTCAGAGAGAATGACAGGGTTGTTGGATGCTATGAAGTTCCTTTGTATTCCAGCCGGCACAACAAAAGAGGGGGAATAATTATGGTGTTACAGTATGAGATCGGCGAATTCCTACAAGAAAGCAGTGTCTCAACGTAGGATCTTAGGGGTCGAAACAAGATTGTCTGGCCAAGGTAAAAGTCAGTTTGGAACCTTGGTTTGTCAAGTTGACTGTATGGAAGGACCAAAAAATCTCCAAGCTATATTCTAAGATTTGCCGTGCGTTGTTTAGAAAGAGCTTCTATCACAGAGAAATCATACTTCGCGGCCGTCCTCCACGGTTTGCGGTTGGTCTTGAATTTTCCTCTTTGATTCGTACATGGCGTGAAAGAAAACCTTTAAGTGGGAAATTTGCGACGTTTAAGATCATTAATCCCTTGAGCTTCCTGATGCTTATCTCTGAGCGGGCCTTCAGCTAATGAATATAGTGCAGGAAGTTATCCAGCAAATTACCCTACCTACAGATACTAATAAGAATCTGCTTTATGATGTGAAATTGCTGTCATATACAGCTGTCACATAGTCTTTTAAATATATGATCGTAAAAGGCCTTCCATATAGTCTACTGATGAATAGTTATATAAAGGTGGTTCTTCATGTCTCTAAAGAAAGATCTAACCACCTTGTACTATTGCCTCCTTGAGCCTAGCAAGGACGTTAAGGCGAATTAGATAATAGCTATAGTTTCTAGTACCTATATACAGCCGTTAGCTCCCAACTAGTGCTGATAATAATGGTGCTCTAAACACCATAATATAGCCAACTCTGGCGCAATGAGGCTATGAGGTGACTAAATAAGTAGGAAGCAGATTTTAAAGAGGCGGTTAGATCTATCCTAGAATCAGAAAGGAGAAAGAGTCTACTAGATTTAGATTAGTGAGCACCCTATCAACCCTCAGTCACCTTACCTCCTATAACAACAAAAGGTTCCTGAATTCAACCCCCCCACCCCTCCCCTCCCCTAACTGGCAACCAGGACACACCGGAGTCTTCAAGCAAATCTAATACAGCCCTATCTTAAATCCCATCTTCTCTAGTTCCCGTGCAGAGGAAAAAATAATAACAAATATTAAATCCTTAATGCAGTCCCAAGGATTCCAGTCAGAGTTACCCTCATGTCATGTTCATTGATTTTAGTTATGCGCAGATCACTCAGAAACGGAAATCCTTAGGATGGAAGCCACATTCATCAAAGTCAAAGAGACAGAGGATTGCTATGCGGTATGAGGTTATTATCTAGGTCACTTAAGTCATGTCATGTGCGTGGGATTACTAGAGTAGCAAAAGCAAGGTTCTCTAACAGTGCGGACCATACATTCCCCCAGAGGTTTGCTTTTATGGTCAAAACTCAGACTGAGATATAAAACTGTATACAATAGATACAACGGTGAATAATGTCTATCCCTGCTACACTAATGCCTGGAGCATCTCAACTATCTATAGCCTTTCCTCATCCCATCCCACCCCATTAAGCATCAAAGGACTTATGGCTGGTTAGGGACCATAGCAATAATGTTCACAGGCTGCTGAGACCGTCGTTTCTTACGCGACTACGGCCTACGACGTTGACGGAAAGTCCCCGAATCTGCCTCCACCTCCTCCCGATGCGGCCGGCAAGTCAGAGTTCGTTTGTCCTTATTGCTGGGTAGCTTGTCCTTCGCGACAAGGAAAAGGAAAGTCATGGCAGTAAGTGTCTAGGATCATTGGCGGAATGGGAGCATCGGTCCAACGGATACCAGAGAGCATATCCGCCAAGCTCTCCAGCTGTACGTATGTACCTACGAGAAATGCCCGGATGCTGACTGCATGTATGTTTTGCCTTCATCCGCTGCGAACGGTTCCTACTTTTGCAAAAACCACACTGGGTTAGGTATGAGTCTCACCACACGCCCACCCACATATGTAGTAGGATGCGTCGGGAGCGGATACAACTTTAGTTACTACCTTTCTATATCATCTGCTTTGAAAACAGCGGGTGGCTCTCCCCGACCCTACCTATCTCATGATCATCCTCGCGTGGGCTTCTATCTGGTTTACTAATACCTTATGTTTGAAATGCCTTGCTTCTTCGATAGAGACCAGGCCATTTGTATGCAGTCTAGTGGATACCCCGCTTGACACGTCACCTAGAGCGCATATACTTATGAATAGAGAGGTTTTGGTCTTCTGTGCAATATAGGTCGAACAAGTCTTCCACACTCAATATCTCTTCTTAACAGAACATTGCCATAAATAAAAACATAATAATGTCATCCACTACAATTGACGAAGTCATCTATCAAACAGACAAGGACTATGGTACTGTGAGGGACTTCTTTGGAGCCAGGTCACAGATTTTTCAACAGCTTATGACTACACAAGAACGAGTAAGGCTAAGTACATTGGAAATTTATGTTGTAATGGTTTCTAAAGCTAAGAAAGAAATGGCATTCCGGCAGGTTCAAGCAAGCCCTAAAGCAGAGAAATATTACAAAAACCAGAGAAAGCGCGCTACATATCCGACTGAAAAGCAAAAACAATCATTTTACCGCATGATGACGAGAATTGGTGACGAGCTGCAGGCTAGAGAGAAAATCATACTCGGCCCCTCCAAGACGATACATCTCCAGGCTCTCGATATCTGTTTAGCCCCGGGAGGATATTCCGCGACCGTCTTGAAATATAACCCTTATGCTAAAGTGTGTGGTCTCAGTTTACCAATAGACGAGGGTGGGCATGATGTTCTTCTCCCACGCTGGCAGACCGACCACCGCGTGAATATTAGGTTTACCGACATTACTATGCTCGCTGCAGAGATCGGCTTTCCCGATTTACCTTTACAAGACCATCCACAAGCATCCCAGTTTTCGAATGATTCACCTTTCGATAGTCGGACTTTCGATATCGTGTTTTGCGATGGACAGGTCCTGCATACGCATGTACGGGCGAACGATTCCAAGAATGAGGCCTTTCGACTTACTAGCGCACAAATCATAATCGCACTGCAAAAAGTCAAGCCAGGCGGGACTATGGTCATGCTTCTACACCAAGCTTATAGCCCACATACTATACGGCTCCTCGAATCATTTAACCAATTTTCTCAAATTTCGTTATTCAAGCCGAAAGTAAGTCACGCACACCGGACCTCCTTCTATCTCGTGGCAAAGTATGTGGAATCTAAAAGTGGGGCGGCGTGCCAATTGCTACATCACATGCGAGGAGTCTGGAGTTCGCATACAGTTCAGCAGTTTGGTGTGGATTTGCCGGAGCCTTACACTGGAACAATGCAGAGAACTCTGCAAGAGCTCATGGAATCGTTCGGAGAAAAGCTGGTTTCTCTAGCTGAGCCGTTATGGGAGCTTCAGATAAAGGCTATGGAACGGATGTTTCTGTGAATGCATGTGTTATTTATCTTCATTTTGTTTCCTTATAAGACAATGTCGTGCCCCTTTGACGTACTTCTCACGACCGCGTGCGCTTGACTGCTGAGACGGACAGAGCTCTTTCTCTGGAGCACAGTTCATGATTTCATCCGATTCGCTACCTAAAAGCTGGTCATCTCGCGCAATGCTTCTGGCGCTACTCCCCCATGAAGTTGTTTCTACAAGGACCATCTCCCATTGATGTTTGCTCGAGTTGAGATGCCATTGATGATACAAAGTCGGCCCACCAGTTGCGAATAATTTGGCGACCGCGAGGGTAAGAGGAAAAGTAATTCAGTGATTTCCATCCTCGAAAGATTTCCGAACTTCGGCGAAACCCTGTTCCCAAGCATACGTTGGAGCATGCAATGTGCCTAATAAAATAATTAGAGACATTCACTTCAGTGTCTGATGCTGCATACCTTGCTCTGTACTTGGACCCAGTTCTGGAATAAGCAGTTAACATGCCTGTTGTTACTTTCAGGGAGTTGCACCTCCTTCAGTGGAGGAGTGTAATTCTGAAGCACTAGCAAACTATAAACTCCCAGCTGGTGATAGAGATCATAGAATTTAATCATAAAAAGGTTAGATCAAAATTCTGCCTGTTGACGAGCAACTATATACCATGAGGTCTGCTAACAGTACTCTACATATATGCCATAAAATGATATTGTGCACTTTAGCCTGGTGAAGTCTGTACTTGGGAAGAGTGTATAAAACCATGTCATAACTAGTGTAGTCGCATTTTCAGCCATCTAGAAAGCTTTATCACAGCTTGTGGGTCGCAAAGTGCCTCTGCAGTGTATCTTTACAAGCATATATGTATATTTTGGCCCTAGGGTGGATGTTAGTGTGACCAAGGCATACTAGGCATTCAAGTCCACTCTCACTCTTTAGCGAAGTAGGGTTCTCAATGATTATGTTGGCTGAGGTTTCATTAAAATAGACTGTTCTCTGAAGCACTCTTAGTATATTAAGGTTATAGAGAGCCAGTTCGACTGGATCATACACCACTATCTGTTTATGGCCAGGGAGCGGATACTCAGACCAAACCAATATACCAAGAGAAATAGTATATATCGGGGATTTTTGACCAGTATAAATGAGGTGCCCTTCTTGTCTTCTCCGCTTGTATCCCATTGTGGAAAACTTGGAAAGAATGCCCAAATACAACTTCTTTCCAACCAGGGCGCAGCGGCTATGGTCCACCATCAAGCTATTGTGCCGCAAGGTCACCAGCTCTAGTTCACACTGGCGGTCCACTGTGACACCCTCAATGTGGCAGGACCACCAGTAAATGGCTCAGTCCCGAATTGCATATCTACACCAGTCAGTAGCGCTCGAGCAAAGCAGGCGACAGACTTACTGATCAGGTACTGGCTTGAAGCAGGGTAGCCATGCCTGCTGGTCAGGTAGTCCCAAAAGTCCATGACATCGCCACTGAAGGAGGTGATCGGGGTGGCAGAGACAAAGCTGTACGTCTTCTGGGTACTGCCGCCGTACCACAGCTGCCAGGTATGGCCCCCAATGCTGACGCTGTCGATCTGCGAGCCGATGGGTTGGACGCTACCGTAGCGAGCGAGCCTATACCAGTCCGTTAGGTTTAATTAGTCCGACTTGATGCAAGCTCATACCAGATCATCAGTTCATAGTCCCCGCTGTAGGTGACATGGTTGATATCCGCAGCTGTGAACAGGTCGTACGCTACGTCTGCGCGAGTGTTGGTCTTATCGTAGCTCCACTGCACGGTGGTTGGGATACTGCTGATCTGGCTGACAAGCTTCTTGGTCAAGGAGACCTGCGAGTTGGCGTAGCTTTTGACCTGGTTGTCGCCGCCGGACCATGTCCAGGTTGTGTGCCAGGCTACGCCGGAGTTGGAGATGCTGTCGACGTAGGTGCATTGGGAGCCGGAGCCGGAGCTCTTGCCCCAGAGGTTGTTGTTGACGGTATACCGGCCGTTGCTGTAGGTGGCATACTGGTCACAGAGGGTTTGAGCGAGGGCAGAGGAGAAGAGGGCTCCAAGGATTGCGAAGGTCTTCATAGTGTCTTTGCAGCGACTTCTCTCTTAAGGCTTGATAGGAAGAGAATCGACTCTGAGCAAGTCTGGACGGTCTTCTTTATAGACGGCCCCAATCTGTAAGTGAAGACCGCTCCCTCCGGAGTAGCCATTGTGTCCTCAGGGCTGTTGGTGTTTCATGTTGACAACAGCCTAATCATGGCCATCGTCTACTGAAGCATTCTGCAACCGGCTATAGGGAATATAGGTCTATGGCCTTCCATAAAGAGAAATTGTCGCCATGGCAGTGTCCATCTGCCGGCAAGTGCCGTATCTGCGCCAGTAATTGCATCCTGGGGACAGGCATCTAGGCCCGACAAGCCGACGGGTATGGCACTGAAGCTCTTCAACTTGTCCTATGGCTAATTCGCTAGTACTCTGTGGTATTTTCCCCGGTGAATACCTTCGTAGATATTCGTAGCGTGAAGAGAGTAGAGTGCCCTAACACTGAAATGGTAAGCCTGAATAGCGCCGGAGTTTAAGCCAACCAAGATTTGTCTTCAGCGCCACACGGACCTACGTTACTTCTTAGAGTGAGTATCGGCATCTGGCCGATATCCTCCAGGGACTAGCGATGTAACGAGGCGGGGTTGAGGCCAAGTCTGCACGAAAGGGGAAACTCCTGAAGCTGATCGTCATTTGGGCTTGCCAGCTGCCTGAAGGGGTAAATGGGGTCTTGCCCGCGACTTTGGCGGAAGATGCGTGATCTTATAAGCAGTCATAATTGCCGAGGACGTATACCGTCAACGAGCAGGAATATCAAGAAAAATCTACCCCATACATCTAAAACTTCGCGACGTGTTTCCTTTATGTGGTGGGCACTGTCAGCCATCCCCGTGCACGCTGATCCCTGCTCCTTGTTTGCTCGCCACAGAACAACTACTGTACTCCGTACGGACCTCATGGAAAGGAGGAGTCCGATGCTTCAACCATATGCACGGCCGAGATCCAGCAAACACGAAAATTCGGCTTTGATTTGTCCCCGGCGTTTCCCCCCGCAATGCCCAGCTTCCACAACAAGGTCATAACGCGCCCATTCTTTGCGGGGAACTAAGGACAAGAAGACTAGCCGTCTCTAGCGAGGCCATGTCTTCGATCTGTCCAATAATCATGGTCCCTGCAGTGTTAATTTCCTTGGTAAAGTTTGCGGAGAACCCGCGATGTAACACTGCCACGAGAGCGATGCGATTCGGGATGCATCTTTTCAGAGCCATGCGATGACTCAACGAGCAGTAAAGCCACTAAAATACATTCTAGCTAGTCAATCTAGACCACCGATATGGTCCATTCCAATCTTTCAGTCCCATCCGTCCACTGTGGCCGCGCGCTATTGATCCAATAACAGAAGCATGGCCCATGCGGGGAAGCAAGGGGGCCCTCACGCCCCTGTCGATTCCTTCCGCACTGACTATTTGCTCAGCGCCAGGATAAATAGTGACGATTGTCTCCTTTTTCCGATCTGTTTCCCAGTGATCAGCATCGACGCCCGCCCGACATGCAGAACCTCTTCCTTTCTCTCCTGGCGGCCGCCGTGACCGTCCACGCCTACGGTTCTGGTGGCAGCAACTGGGACCAGGCCTACTCTCGCGCCAAAGATGCCCTGCAGAAGCTCAACCAGACCGAAAAGGTGGGGCTAGTGACCGGAGTCAAATGGATGGGCGGCCCTTGTGTGGGCAACACATACAAGCCCGAGTCGATCGACTATCCTTCCTTGTGTTTGCAGGATTCGCCGCTAGGTATCCGCTTCGCGAACCCCGTCACGGCCTTCCCGGCGGGTATCAATGCCGGTGCGACCTGGGATACGCAGCTGCTGTATGCGCGGGGAGCAGCAATGGGCGCTGAGGCGAAGGGACTGGGTGTTCATGTGCAGCTTGGTCCCGTAGCTGGACCTTTGGGGAAGAATCCCAACGGAGGCAGAAATTGGGAGGGATTCTCAGTTGATCCGTACCTGAGTGGTGTTGCTATGGAGAAGACCATCAGAGGAATGCAGGACTCGGGTGTGCAGGCTTGTGCCAAGGTATGCTCTCCTCGCCAGCGTGAAGAGCATTGGGCTGACGATAAAGTAGCACTGGCTGGGAAATGAGCAGGAGCACTACCGCGACACGATCAGCTCCAATATCGGCGACCGTGCGGTACACGAGCTGTACGTGTGGCCGTTCATGGACGCGGTCAAGGCCGACGTCGCGTCGGTGATGTGCTCGTACAACAAGGTCAACGGCACCTGGGCGTGCGAGAGCGATGCGATCAACAATAAGCTGATGAAGAAGGAGCTCGGCTTCCCTGGGTACATCATGAGCGACTGGAATGCACAGCACAGCACCGTCAACAGTGCCGTGTCCGGATTGGACATGACCATGCCGGGGAGTGACTTCAGCAATCCACCCGGCAGTATCTTCTGGGGATCGAATCTGGAGGCTGCCGTAGCCGATGGGTCCGTCCCGCAATCTCGCCTCGACGACATGGTCACTCGTATTCTGGCCGCGTGGTACCTCGTCGGCCAGGATCGGGGTTATCCTCCGGTTGCCTTTAGCTCATGGAACGGTGGCAAGGCCAACGTCGACGTGACAGCCGACCACGCCACCGTTGCCCGTGCTGTCGCCCGCGACTCCATCGTTCTTCTCAAGAACGACCAGCGCACCCTGCCCTTGCGCAAGCCCAAGAGTCTGGCGATCGTCGGCCTCGACGCCATCGTCAATCCTGCCGGACCCAACGCCTGCTCTGACCGCAACTGCAACAATGGCACGCTCGCAATGGGCTGGGGAAGCGGAACCGCCGAGTTTCCCGTAAGTTGCCCCCCCTGCCCTTCTCACGCACAACATGCTAACAGGACAAGTACCTCGTCGGGCCTCTCGACGCCATTCAAAAACGCGCTGCAGCCGACGGCACCAAGATCGTCCCCAGCACGACCGACGACCCAACCGCCGGAGCCTCCGCAGCCGCCGCCGCCGAAACAGCCATCGTCTTCATCAACTCCGACTCGGGCGAGGGCTACATCACCGTCGAGGGCAACCAGGGCGACCGCAACAACCTGGACCCCTGGCACAACGGCAACGAGCTAGTCAAGGCCGTCGCCGCCGCCAGCAAGAACGTCATCGTCGTCGTCCACAGCGTCGGCCCCATCATCCTCGAGACCATTCTCGCCCAGCCTAGCGTCAAGGCGATCGTCTGGGCCGGCCTTCCTGGCCAGGAAAGCGGCAATGCTCTTGTCGACGTGATTTACGGCGACACGGCCCCCAGTGGAAAGCTCCCGTACACGATTGCCAAGCAGGCCGCCGACTACGGGGCCAGCTGGATCAACGCCGAGACGGACGACTTCACCGAGGGCTTGTACATCGACTACCGTCATTTCGACGCAAAGGGAATCGCCCCGCGGTACGAATTCGGCTACGGCCTGTCCTACACCACTTTCAAGTACAGCGGTCTCTGGGTGAACGTGTACACGAGCGCTGGGGCGGCCAACGGAAAAGTTGTTCCCGGCGGTCCGGCCGACTTGTTCGAGGTTGTTGGTCAGGTCTCCGTCTTCGTGAGAAATAATGGACGCTTGGCGGGTGCCGAGGTGGCGCAGCTTTACATTGGTCTTCCTGACTCGGCACCCGCAACGCCTCCTAAGCAGCTGCGTGGCTTCCAGAAGATGATGCTCCAGCCTGGCCAGATGGGACGGGCGACGTTTGAGCTGACACGCCGGGATCTGAGCTACTGGGATGTGCAGCAGCAGAAGTGGGTGGTGCCCAGTGGAACATTCAAGGTGTATGTTGGTAGCTCGAGCAGGGATATCCGGGAGGAGGGCTCTTTCAGGGTCCGTCGCGGATGGTCTTGATGTAGTATCAGTAGGTCGTTATTGGAAGATCTATAGTTGAGCGCCATAATACCTTGAACCTAGGCTAATCATGAGACCTGTCTTCAACTGTTCGTTTCCAATTTCTCTAGACCATGCTTGTAGGCATGGCTAGCTGCTTAACTAAAAAGCGCCAAGCGCGCACAGTCGTATAAGCGAATGTATGGCAGCATATGCTGCATTCTACTAGCCCCATTCTCCGGAGTCTCTTTGAAGCTGAGCACACCTCTCCACAGCAGAAAGACAAATGTCACGCATGAAGCTGGGAACACGGTCCAAGAGATCACCGTCCAGTATAGGATTCACCCCCCTTCTCAGAAGTGGCAGGTTATCGGTCGTAAGTTGTACGACAAGATCTCTGGGTACCCGATCACTCTCCGCTGTGGAGCTGTAGACTTCAACGACAGCAGAGGTGAATGAATCTCGATCAGGGTTAGCCATGAACGACTCCCTGAAGCACTGCTTTGCCTTGCATTTGAGAGCATAAATTTGGAAGTAGTCCCCCTGCGCGTACATCTGCGCATGGAAGTAAGACTCGCCCATTCGCGGGTTTGCAATGCTTGTTTGTCTCTCAGTCCCTGCAAAACGTTCAATCTCTCCCTCTGGCAGTGGTTCCAGCTTTGCGTCTGTTGGAGGGGTGTCGTAGGTATAGCTGCCCGTGTACAGAAATTCAAGCGTCTTTTTGACGAGTATTGGATCTTGACTATCGAGTGTTATCTGCCCGTTGCCTTCCTGTCCATGTTGGTTGTCAATATTGTATGTAGTTAAAGTAGGGGGAGGGGGAAATACCTTGAATCGTCCATCACAAGCCACCTCAAAGTACTTAGATTGAGGACAGACGATGTTCCTATGTGCTGGGAAGATTTCATCGTCGCTCGGCGTATGATCGACGCTGATTCTGTTGTTGGCTAAAATAGAACCCGCTGACTTCGAGAAACGTCTGGTCGAGATGGTCAAGAGCAGACGGATACATGCTGAAAACGTCTCTGGCATTGACAAAAAGTGCATCGCGTAAAACTGGACCGCCCTGAAAAATGGCCCCGGTGACTATCATTCAGGTAATGCCAACCTTCAAGTTTGTCCATCACATAGACTTCCCCTCGAGCGGCGGCCAAAGTGGTAAAGTTGCGTGATAATCCCGACCATGGAGCTGCTCATGATCAAGCTGAAAGCCCCAAGCAGCAGCAACCCGATCATCAGGCATATATGAACCATGACGTTCTAGCTCCCACTCGACGCTGGTCAAGCCCGCTCGGCTTGAGAACGTGAAAATGAGATAGAAATAGTGATTGAGATCAAAGTTGAGGGCCTTCAAGCGAGGCATACGCCTTGCGGCGTAACCCAGCGAGATGAACAGTCGATGAAACTGCTCTTGCTCGAAGATGGGTCGCTGTACGCATCTCTTTTCATAGCTGCGGATTTCTGCCTCCCAGACCTCAATCCCAGCAATCATGGCTTCCTCTCCTGCATCAGGGCGAACGATCCATTCCCCTATTGTACATTCAGAAGGTTAGCGATTTGGGTGCCTTTAGGTATCTGGCATATTGCATCTACATATCCATACAGCACATGAATTTCCGAGGAAAAGTTCTTACCTGAAGGAAGCCAGGGCTGAAATTGATACAAATTCAAAGTCTCCAGGTTGGGCCAGTGTAAAGGTGCGTTGGCTGGTAATGGATGATCTTTCGCGTCCAGAGGCCACAGAAAATCGAGAGATATAGGGACTTGAAGCAGTGTCAGCTCATGAAGGGAAAGGCTCAGTTCGCGGATTCTGATGGATAGGGTATCAACGCTTGAGGATAGAACATTCAAGGGGGGCATGGCATCCTTCCAATTCCTCTCGTCTGCATTCTCGAAGTGAAAAACCCGTAATGTGGGGGAGACATCTTTCAGACCTTCAGCCACGGCTACAGCTCCATTAGCAGGGAATCCAGGAGGCTACGAGGAACGTAACATAGTGGCATTGATCAACAGGGAGGCCATACCTTGGCGCCGCTTTTTCAAGTATTCCTGGTGATCTGGTCTGATATACTCATCCAGGTGGAGATATAGTTCTGTGAGTTCCGGACAGTGTCGAACAATCTGCATGGCGGCCCCAGCCCAGATCAGGTTAGGAAACGATATTTGATCAATACATGAAACATCTCGTAGCATTGACGCCCCGTCATCATCGAATCGCGCGCGGTACACGGGAACAGGCTGTGTGCCAAAGTCTACGGTGTTCGAGTTATATCGTCCAGCTTCGTAATCCTCTTCGGTACACGGTTCCTGGCCTAGCTCACGCCCTCGAAGCCGAAGAATGACGGACAAACGATGACTCTTGTCCCATGACCCTAGTGTGTTGAACAGATCGATGACTTGTGATTGAAAGGCGGTATCATTCGCCTGTCGAACAGGGTTATCGGTGGTATAGCCTTCCTCTTGACGAGTCGTCCAGTCTGGGAGTTCAAAGGGAAGAACGATATCGTACCACAACTGACGAATCCATGCTCGTCTTGCAATTCGTGGCCCAGAAGTAAATTCTCGGAATTGGTTCAGGCAAACACGGCGTCCACTGTAACCATCCTCCCTGTACAGGTTCAATTTGGAGTAAGTGAATGACTCAAACGCTGCCTGCCAGCGACGACAGACAGTTGTACATGCAACCAGAGAAGTGCCTGCCCGTTGGAGATAGCCTGCGATCTCACATAGAAGTTCAAATGGGAGACTGGCTGCCATATCTGTTGGATGCCAGTTGTTAATATCTAGTCGCGGGAAGTGTCTCCCACAGGACCAGCGGAGACTGCAGTGGAGAGTGGACAATGACAAAGCATACAGGCTTGGCACAAAAAACATGCGACTTGCGTATAGGACTTTAGAACGCAAACATGTCTTCTGTGACACAGCCATCATTCCCTCAGTCCACCAAATCAACATACTGCGATACAACCCAATGAAGAAGCAACAAGAAAGTACTGAGCGATAAGGCCAAGTCTGCTCCATTAGGCCACCCCATGTAACTCCACACTAACCACACAGCAGTAGTGAACAGCACGATAGAAATTAAACTGAAAATTCAGCTCCTCATATCCTTTCACCGCAGGTAGAACTGTGCTTACCTCCATGGGTTTCGTACGATTCTCTTGAGAACCCTGATCCACCGTGAAGGAACTGTCGAGGAAGAATGAGGGATCGACGTTGAGGTTTGTTTATCAGCAGCCATTTATTATATCTGACAATAAATAGATTGTGTCACTGGGAGAAGACAGAGCAGATTGCCCCAATGTTGCTTCCTTGAAATTGGTGATAGTAAGATGAAAATACAGAGGGTCATGCTAGGTACTTGACCGATCCTTCCGAGGGCCCATAGGACTGTTATCAGTATCCACTCTTCTAGTATTTTGATTATTTGATTCAAACTCCCTATGGAGACATGCCTTTTATGTAATAGGAAGACTAGTAGTTCTATAGCACATGCTTTGTGGATCAGATCACACTAAACGCAAACATACTGCTACATCTATTCAGCAATGACCCCCTTTATCACCTTGCGCCCTTGTTACAAACCAACCCAGAATACATAGAGTAAGAATTAACCCGATTAATGTATATGAATATGCCTAGTACTGCCTACCTAGTGACCAGCAGACATTCGTAGAAGCAGTCAACCCCGATTAGCATACTGCCCCATCTCAATCTCCCTATCCATCTCATCATACCGCACCACAACCCTCGTAGTCTTCCGGATGACACACGCCTCCGGGCTCATCCTCTCTTGCCCCTCAGCTGCCGAAACAGTCACGTCCGCTCCGCCCTCATCCAGCACGCTCCACCCTTCGACTTTTTTGGGGGTCGCGTCCACCGGCTGCGAGCGGTTCCCGTGCGAGGCTGGCCCCGCAGAGCTCTTGTGTAGTCTGCTGAAGAGCCGGGGAAAGAAAAAGGAGAGCGGGCGGCGCAGCGCGGGGAGACAGGCGCAGATGATGCCGAGGTTGGATTCGATGACGGTCCACATCGACGAGCCGATGCTGTTCCAGGTTGTGTCGAGGTGGTTGGTCGCGACGTTGAGGGTTGTGATGCGGAGGACGGAGGTGATGCAGGTGCTGTTGGTCGATCAGTATATCAGTATAGAGTGAACAGTTTTAGATGCATATGAGAAAAAGGGACTTACAAGAGACCCACGGCGAAGATGCCGCAGAGAGCAACCTTGGACTTGAGCGGGAGTTGCAGCTTCAGGACGACGGGGATGGGCAGCGCGATCAGGACCAGGTCGGTGAGGATGTTGAATGCGGCGTTGGCGTACCAGAAGGCCGTCATGTTGATGCAGGTGCCGCGGCCGGGGAGGGACTTGTTGAAGGCCCATTGCACCGGGGTGCACTGGAAGATGCTGGAGAAGACGGTGCCGATGGTGAAGGAGACGATGATGGCGATCCAGGCCCAGCAGGTCCTGAGGAACCAGCGATGGACGAACAGTCGGATGTAGAGAAGGAGAATGCTGATCTTGGTTAAGCCGAGGTTGACCTTGTAGAGAATCTGGGCCACGAAGTAGAGCTGTCGATGTGAGCTGAGGCCAGGTATTTTCGCCAACCGACGTACGTTTAATGTTCTGAGAACCAACTCCTTGGGCATCTCATGCTGATGCTTCCCAAATGCCCATCCGCAGACTAGTTCATTAGCTGTGTCGCATTACCGGCAGAGCCCGTCAACTTACCGATGATCATCTGGATTGAAACCGTTTCTGCGAAAGCCTACGGCGGGTCAATACGCAGACAGACACCTGCAATTGCTGATACTGATACTCACGCAAGAGACCAGAATCGTCCAGTCGTCTGCTCCAACGCGACCGGAAAGAAACCGGCGGCCGAGCAGTCTTGCAATCACCACGAGAGGAGTGACGATGGCAAAGACCAGCGATGGATAGGACAGCCGCGCAGAGCTGTCCGGGTGATCCCCATAGTCGCTAAACAGAGGCATGGCCTGCGGACTGACACATATCGCGCATTTTGCGTCAGGGGCGGAGGGCAGAGGGAGACCTGCACATAAATGCAGAGAGTCCAACAGAGAGACAGGGATCAATCACACCATGTCACACACAGTACTTTCGTGTCGCGCAGAATTGAGATTGAACCCATGTTGAGCCCAAGGAGACAAGACATGGGCAATTTCCATCAACAGGCTGGCTAGCAGCCAATTAACCGCAGCAATTGTCCACCCTGCTGTCGTTCTTCACCCATTCGGTAGGATGAGCACACTCGGCGCCACGGACCGAAGCAAACACTCCCATGTCTCAGCAGCGATTCATGCATGATTAAATTGAGGTTGCAGTTCCTTGAATAACCGGTTGGCATCACCTAATCATTTCGGGCCAACCCATGTCGGGTTTAATAAACTAGTCTGCACTGTTCATCCGATCGTCCAATCCTCCTCTTGGCCCGTGAGTGGACAAGGCCACTTGTTTCACTGTTTAATTTGTCGATAGGTGCCACCCGTGCAACCGAGAGGAACACTAACCACTAACCGCCATCCCCGCCGGCCTAGACATTTAGTTATCTCGCTAGTCATGCATCATCCATGCGATGGCGAGACTCGAGCAGGAATCTAATCCCGGCACGACTGTTGTTGAGCCCGTGGTGCGCCCATGTGCAGGGATCAGTGTGCCGTGAGGGGATAAATGTCCGTGTCGGCAAGACTCTTCATCTTGGTTTTGTGGCCATGTTACATTGATGTCTATTTATCTCAAGTCCTCTAGCAGGGGTATCTCCCTTTCTGTCAAATTCCTGTTAGTAACAGGTTCCGTGGCTGGCCACGCTATGCTGTGACGTTTTAAAAAGTCGTTTTTTCTCTTCGCCAGTCCTCTCAACGCATCCGTATCCCATCCCTCAATCCCAGGAACAGATTGCTCTGGTCGCGATGGAAAAACAGCCCAATCATGAGATCAGCCAAACAGGCAGTAGCCTGGAAACCGCGGCGCCCGAGATCGAGATCGACGAGAAGCGCGAGAAGGCGCTTCTGCGCAAGATCGACCTGCATCTCATGGTGCCTCTCTGGGTCATCTTCGTGTTCGGCTTCCTCGATCGAATCAACCTGGGCAATGTGGCGGTGCTGGGGATCCTCAAGGAGTTGAAGATGAACGGCAAGGATATGGCGCTTGCCATGCAGATCTTCTTCGTCCCGTATATCATCGCGGATATTCCGAGTAATATTGTGCTCAAGCGGTTTGCGCCGTCGACCTGGATCAGTGCTTTGACTTTTTGCTGGGGTAAGCGCCTCCCCTTCCCTTTGCTTGATAGTCATGTCTAACGAACTCAGGTATAACATGCATGTGCCAAGGCCTGGTGAAGAACAAAGCCGGTCTAGTCGCCTGTCGCTTCTTCCTAGGCCTCTGCGAAGGAGGCTTCGTTCCCGGCTGCGCATACCTGATGTCGATGTACTACCGGCGCCACGACTTCCAGAAGCGGTTCTCGCTTCTCTGGGTAGCCGGTCTCGTCGCTGGTGCCTTTGGCGGCCTACTAGCCTACGCTCTCTACCATATGCACGGGCTCGCAGGCTACTCGGGGTGGCGATGGATCTTCATCATCGAAGGCCTGCTATCGATTGTCTCGGCGCTGCCGGCCAAATTCCTCATCGCCGACTGGCCCGAGCAAGCTCGCTTCCTCAACGCCGAGGAGAAGGCGCTGCTCAAGGAACGCAACGCCCGGGATCAAGGCGGCCACCACGACAGCGCACGCATGGACCGGCTGGACGGCGCCGCGTGGCGACGCATCATGTCCGACTGGAAGATCTACGTCGGCAGCCTGATCTACATCAGCATCACGGTGTCCGGGTACGCAACTGCGCTCTTCATCCCGTCGATCGTCAACTCGCTCGGCTACGACGGCATCGACAGCCAGGTCCACAGTATCCCCGTCTGGGCGGTTGCGGCGGTTGTCACCGTGATGGTCTCGTACTTGACGGACCGCATGCGGCATCGGTACGGCTTCATCATGTTCGGCGTCCTCTTCGCCAGCATCGGGTATATTATCCTGCTTTGCCAGGGTCCTCCCGCGGAGCTTGGCGGACTCAACGTGCATGTGCGCTACATGGCTGTCTTTTTTGTCACCACGGGCTGCTATATCGTCCAGCCGGTGGCGATCGTCTGGATGGCGAATAACCTGGGCGGGCACTATAAGCGGGCTATTGGGCTGGCTATTCAGATTGGGTTTGGGAATATTGGAGGTATCATCGCGAGTAATATCTTCAATAAGGATTTGGCCCCAAGGTATATTGTCGGATATAGTGTATCGCTGGCGATGATGTTGCTCTGTGGGATTATGAGCACGGTGTTTGCTGTGGGCGTTGTGATGGAGAATAAGAAACGGGATGAAGGGAAGAGGGACTATCGGTTGAATTTGGATCCAAGCGTGTTGGATAATATGGGCGATGATGATCCGAGATTCCGTTTCTGCCTTTGATTAGCATTGGGGGTACGGAGGATAAAGGATACCAATTCAACTACTTAGGTGAAGATATTATCTAGAACACGGTTTCGAAGTGCATCTAAAGTCACCCCTATCTCCGTAGAAGAGGATGCCACCTTTAATCACCTGAGACTGAATATCGGCTCTAGCAAGAGTCCTGAGGTTGGACATCGCCCGGGCAGCTCCTCAGCTTCGAATTCAAAAACTGCATGTGCCTTGGACAGTCCCAGGGGTACCAACTTAGTGACCGGACGGCGTATAAGGCAGTCCCATAGGATCCACAGCGGTATCCTAAACTTGACATTACTCGTGGATCATGACTCTTCAACTAGTTGTCGCAGCTCTATTGTGATACTTTCCGGAAGCGAATTCGCAATGGCTGCCTCAACCACGGCATTGGTGACCACCGCTTCGCCTTCCCTTTGATCGAGAAGTAACTCGATGATCCATTTCCCTAGAGATTTGTTTGTGTTCTCCGCCGCTGCTATCAGTACCTCTTCCGTGGCGAATCGCGCATGTGGGAATTCACAGAGGAGAAGTTGCATGATATCAAAGCCGGCTCGTGGATTCCTCGCGGCCGCTTCAACAATACGTTCAATGCACCAAGGACGTGATTCATCATGCTCCCGAATCAGAAACTCGACAATTTCAAAACCATAATTCTCGTTCTCTGCTGCAACTTCAACAACTCTGTCCACGAGGTGGATGTAATGTCCATGTTGATCCATCATTAAAGTGAAGGTCTCCCAATCAAAGAATTTCACAATTGCCTGTACTCCGCTGGCAGTGATTCGCACCTTGTTGTGGCAGAGAAGCTTGCTCAATAAGTCTTTGTTGAATGGCTGCCGTTCATGCACTGCGTTAATAAGGTCCTCTGTGATCTGAATACAATCGCAGTACTCCGAAAGCTGATCCACAGTCTGCTCTGGAACATGATGGCTTCCAGCGACCGCTACCCAGAAATTCTCTGACAGGCAGACCTCGTCGGGACGTATGTCGAAAAGCATCTGGACCGTGTCGCAGACTGAGTAGCTGGTAGCTGCAGCTTCCATCACTCTCGTTGTGATGCATATTTGACGTCCCCATTGCTCGAGCAGGACTTGAAGTGCTGCTGTCGACTTCCCAGCCGCGATTTCGGCTGCTTTCTGGGTTATTTCCACTTCGGCGCCATAGTTTTCGTGAATCCAACGCAAGCTGTTCGCATTGGAGGCCGCTGCTTGCAGGACTCCATCAGTGATGAGTGGTCGGTCCGCTGTGTTCCCACATATGACCTCCAAGACGTCGCAGCTATTCCTCGCGGCCGCTTCGATCATCCTCGTTGTTATCGTGAACTCCCCCTCCCGCCTCTCAAACAGGAGACGCACGGTTCCAGGGCCCAACAGGCCAGCAATCGCCTCGGTCCCTGACTGCGACACTCGTACCCTCTCCCCATCACTGAGGAGGAGATTTATCAGCTCATGGCCATTGTCGAAGATGCGCGCTGCACTCTGTATCACGGATTCTGTTATCTCCATTTGAAGACCGTGACCGAGCAGTACCTCCAAAATTTCTTTTCCTGCGGAACTGTTTCCGACTGCGCCTTCCACTGCTTTAGTAGACAGGCTCTTGGGCTTTCCTTGATTCTTTAGTATCAAAGTCACAATGTTAGGGTTGGCAAGTCGCACGGCCTCCTCTATCGGGGGTCCAACAAGGGTAGCTCCATGACCCCCGACAGAAGCCGCGCGACCAAATATTCCGTGCCCCTCTGTAAGTTCAATCGTATCTCCCCTTTACACTCGGCAATGAATATATCAAACATACTCCTGCTGTCAACATAGTCAGGGCCTGTCACTGTCGCTATTGCTTTTTCCGTTATTCCCACCGACGGAGAACGCTCGAGCAAAGCTTTCACTGTCTTTTCGCTAAAAAATACATCTTTGACAGCTGCTTCAATCGCTTCTGGTGTAACCGGTAACTTGTTGCTGTGCTCAGTGAAGGCTCTGATGATTTCTGCACCAGACCATCTTTCGGCTGCCAGGATCACAGCTCTCTCGGTTACCTGGACAGATGGAGTATGTTTCAATAGACGTTGCACGATCGTTACGTGGGGCGCTGCTTCGATCACTTCCTCGGTGATAGATACTCGCTCACCGAGCTTATCTAGTAAGCCGCATATGAGGTCGCGTGTGCCCTCCGATACGATATAAACCATTGCCTCGGCAGTAAACCAGACCCGATCCTTGTGTTTTCCGTTAAGAACATTGAAGACAGCATCGTACAGGCCAGACTTGCGCTCTCCCCACGGCCATTCAGGGACCGAGCTTTGGACAAAACTCGGTGCTGTCCGCTCGGTAAACCGAATGTCATTTTGGCTGTGATCGAGAAAGAGGTCGATGATCTCTTTTCCATCGCGTGTATTATGGGTTGCCGCTAGGATCATAGCGTCCGTAAGCACCAGTTCACAACAACCATACTCGAGCAAAAGCTCGATGATTCGCTTTCCACTCTCTGTATTTGCAGCCGCCGCCAGGATGACTCCTTCGCTGTCCACCACTCTCCCCTGATGCGCAAGGAGGAGGTCGAGAATTTCTCGTCCATTTTTCTCGTGTCCTGCTGCAGATTGCCACACCTTTTCGTTTGCCGGGATTTCCAAACCATACTCGATGAGAAAGTGGATGATTTCCAAACCACACTCTTCATTCCTCGCTGCGGCCACAAAAATACGTTCCGTGTCTTGTACCTCCCGGCTCGGTGTCAATAACAATTGAAGCAGCTGCCTTCCTTGCTTATTCCGGGCGGCGCCTGCTAGAATCCCCTCACTGATCCAGATACTGGGTCTCCCTGCCAGCAACGACCTCATAAGCTCCACATCGAATACCTTGGCAATTATCTGTACACCTCTGGCTCCGATGGGAATATTCGGATTATCAAGAAGCTGTATCAGTATTTCCCTCCCGCACGCTTCATTTCTGTAGGCAGCCACAACCACCTGCTGTGTGATCCGTATAGGCGCACCACGGTCTTGGAACATCCTCATAATCTCCACTCCAGATTGCTCATTTGCAACAGCAGCCTGAATGACCGTACTTAGCAAATGGACCTTCCTCCCCTGCGTTTCGAGCAATAGAGCCATCATCTCAGGGTCCCAGATTCTTGCTGCTTCCTCGACTCCTTTTGGATGGATCGTTAATGTCGGTCTTTGGCGGAGTACTTGACAGACACGGGCTCGAATATCAGAAGATCGCGCCGCATCCTTGACCATTGCTTGCCTGAACACCCCGGAGTACTCCGTGAGAAAGGAATCGAGACCATCGTCATCTCCATCGCTGGCTGTATGTTCAGACTCGGAACCGGCTTCTTTCACCGAGTCTGTCGAGCTCGTTCTAGGGGGCTCTGGCGGCGCGATTAAGCTCGTGATTACCCCTGGGGTCTGGGTCGTAGATGCCGTGGATATGCGCTGGACTGGTTTTGTCTGCGCATTCTAAGTGACCACATTCGTAATTATAACGGGAAAGAAGTAGTAGTTACCGGTTTTGGGGCTGTCGTCCTCTTGAACAGCCGTGTCAATGCCATGTTGATTGTTCCGATAAGGAATCATCGCAGAACTCGAGGTTGGTGTGGCTGCGTCTCATTCTTGTGCCCAGAGCGTTCGCTTGACAGGCCGTGGGGGCGGGGGGTGGAATTGGGAGCGCATCAAGAGCCAGCTGTGCCCAGCGCCAATACCGACGTGGCTGTCTCGTATTGGGTTGACAGCTAAACCCTGCACTTGGGCCGACTGTAAATCGGACTTCAATCCGCGGCTGACTGAACTGGACTGGGTTCTTCCCGTAATTTATTTATCCTCAGCTGAACCTAATCCACGGGCGGTCTCTGCAAGGCATATAAGGATACAACAATGGCAGGCTTCTCAAGCTACCACCTGCAAGACCTAACATTCACCGGGCCGCAGGGCACCAGAAAATCCCCGTACGCATCCGTCGCAATCCTGGACCCGATCATCACGATCGAACGACACCATGGAATATACCATATCGCTGCGCGGTTTAATATCGAGACGGCGATTTTGAATTATGCCACGCAGGATAGGCACGTTCATCTTACCCTATGTCCTATCTCCAAATGCCCGTTCTAACTATGAAGAAAATGAGAAAAGTGACGCCCACGAGCTCTTCTTCCAAGACATCTGTCTCCAGTACAAGAGTCCCCGGGACAACGAAACACTCCTCATGAAGCCTGATTCGGATCCCACTGCTGCATTAACCGTATCCAGGGGCTTCACCTCGTCTTCGTCAGCCACCGTCGGTGCCACGGTATCGCAGACACCCGCGGGGAATGTTTCCTTGGGGCTTACGCGGTCCAGGTCGCTGACGGTAGAGTATGCCATGACGAGTTGGAGTTTGAGTGCGCATCGAGTGGTGCATGGCGAGTTTTCTGCTTCTGCGCTTCCGATAGTTGACTTCAAATAATAACCTTGCTGCTAGATGATGGGGCTTTTCCTGACGAGCAAGTTCGCTACCAGTGGTTCTGGGCCGGGACGCAAGACGAGTCGAGGAGGTTGTCAACCGATCTGAGGCATGCTGTTAAGCGGCATGTTGTCGTGAAGCGGATTGTCCCCGAGTACTTGATCGTACCGCTATCAGATGAGGCGGCGGACGCAGTAACGACGTCCTCGCCTCCCGAGAATACAACAGAGAGCCCGACAAAAGAGGAGGGACACGCGAAAACAGGAGATCAAGATCAGCCCTCTGACCTAAATGTAAATGCCAACGCCGATGCCAACGTCAAAGACACGGCCATATACACCTGGGACTCCCTGCTCGACTTTAGTTTCTCTGTCCAGGTTAGTCGGACACCTTTCCCCCCCCCTTTCAAGGATAACAATTTTCTGACCAAGACTTATTGGAAAGGTCCGAGTCAAAAAGCGGCTCAGCCGCCTGCACAGACTCGTCCTCCTGAGCAGCAACGAAGTTAAAGGAAAATATCTCCGCCCGGTTTATACGGAGAGCTTCCGGTTCCGAGTTCCCGCGCTCAGGGAGATGATACCTCAGTGCGACACGGCTGATATTTCGGCTACCCTGAATCAGATTAAGAAAGATGTAGGCCATGCCCATGCCTGCCGCACGCCGAACCACATCATAGGCAAGAAATTTAGAAAGAATATGCTTACTAAAAATGAGATATCAGTATGAAAATCGAATGGAAGAACTCTCCGAGAAGGACTTTTTCGAGCTGGCTAGCGCTCACATTCGGAAAGAGGTAGGTATTCCTGTTCTTTTCCCTAGGACTACGGAGATGTTCGAACCGAAGAGAGATATTCTAATGCTAACAAAACGTGCTATTAAGACGACCCAGCAACGTGAAATGACTCGCGCAGAACGTATCGCGCATGGTATAAATAGGGCAGAATTCATGGCACCGCCTGTGCGTGCTAGGCAGAGTAGAAGGCAGATGTAAGTGTAAGCGTAACCATGAATACCAGAAATGCTCTCTTTTGTGCAATCAGTGTAATGGCATAGATTTATACTCGGCTTTCTCTGTACACTTAGTGATTGAATATTATACTCTGCTTATCCTTGCATGCTTCAAGTATATTCGTGATGATGTGCCGGGGAGAACTACAATGAAGCTTTAGGGTGGGAGGTGGTAACTGGTAACCAGACAGGCTGATTAAATGCTGAATCTCAAAATAGGAATGGGAATAGGAATAGGAACATTATATCCAAGTGAAGTAATCCTATCGCTACTCACTAGTTGCCCTCTCGATCCTCTGGACTTTAGCCATTTACCTCTAATATCCTCCTGGTAATTCCTGGCAGGTGGCCTTCAATATCTTAAGATATCTTTTAAAAACGCCAGTAGATTAATCATAAAGGGAAAGTCCATGTCCATGTCAAAGATAGATAAATAGAGTTAAGCTCATTCTGATCACTTCTCCGAATCTTATTATCAGTCCAGAATCAGCGAGAGAAGTAGGCTTTCATGTTTTGCGCACAAGTCTAGCCTCGCTATCCCGCACTGAGTTGTATGCCTGTGAAATGACCGTACAACTTAGCAGAGCAGAAGAGGAAAAGATCTGAAGTACAGAATCACCGAAACTCAGCATAATGAAAATCAGCGGGAGCGAGACACTTTTGCAACTCGCCATAACTGTACAATCCCAGCATCATCCCTGTAAACCGCGCCCCGACTGGAGGTGCTCTGGTCATGACGCTATTCGCAACCGCCCCAATCCACTGCGTCGGAGATTCGCCGGCCTCGCTGGCCTCCTTGAATCCGAATCTGTACCTATCTCCGCATTCGATCAGGAAGATGATGTCGGAGCTTGGGCCCACCTCCCTGTCAACGACCTCGCCCTCCGCCGGTCGAAAGCGCACGATACGGTTTCCTTTCGGGGAGAGCCGGACGCCGATCGAGCTGTTGGTGAAGTAATTCCAGTAGACCACTGTGCCGGCTTCTACGTGGATGGAAGCGGGTTGGAAAGATAGTCGGGTCTCCCAGGTGCAGTGACGAGATGATTGCTTCCTTAGAAAGAGAGTTGGGCTGGCCGGTGAGGAGAGGTTGTATGGGCCGCCGTGCAGGCGCAGATGGTTTGGCCGCTCGGTAAGAGAATAGTCGATTTTTATGGGTGTGTCTATGCTCGTCAGCAGAGCTCACCACGATAGGATACTTTCAGCCGCGTACTCTTTCTATACCAGCCCAGCTGGAGCTTGGGATTGGAGAAGTCGTCCCTCCACGCCACTGGTGGCTCATATTCATAAAGCCCTGGCCCAGACTTGAGAGTGACCTTCTGCCCGCCATTAATGATCGGCCAATCATCCCTCCACTCCATGGGAACGAGGAACGTCTCCCGACCTGCCCGTCAGATATATCATCAGCTATCCTCATCGGTGATCCCAGCATGGTAAATGCACCCTACCAAAAACCGACTCCTCCCATCCCCCATCCTTCCACACCGGCCTTACCCCAGAAACACCGCCCACCAGTTCCCCTGCGCGTCCTCGACCAGATCCGCATGCCCGGTATTCTGTACCTCGTCGTCTACCCCATTCCGCCAGAGTGGATTACACGGCCCAACCTCCCACGGTCCGAACGGACTGACCTCGCTCCGACAAACCCACTCGCAGTGCCCGCTCTCGGTGCCCCCCTCCGCCGTGAAGAGATAGTAGTACTTTCCCCGCTTGAAGATATGCGATCCCTCCGCCACCCCGGAGGCCGATTCGCGGATCAGCCTCGGCTCGGAGGTGGAGTTACCCGTCTCGAGGTCGACGGTTGCGATGTGGATGGCGAAATCTTTGATATTTGCGCCGGGGAGCGAACGAGCTTGCGGTATGTTGATGATAGGTACACGGTTCCGTCGTCGTCCCAGAAAAGCTATTCCTCAGTTTTAGTCTAGTTAGGCTCAGGGCTGGATTCCAGGGCTGGGCTTACATCCTGGTCGAACCCGACCTGGTCGAAATACACGGGATCAGACCACGAATTCGAGTCCCAGATGTTCTCCGTCTTGACGTAGAATCCTCGCGGCCAGACCCGGTCGTCCTCCTGGGGACGATACCGCTCGAAACCGGCGGCGATGATGTAAAAGGTCCCCTTGTGGTAGCGCAGGGTTGTTGCCCAGATCCCGCCGCCGGGCTCGGGAGTGTGGATCTGCAGCTGGCTGGGTTTTGTTAGGGCATGACCGATCAATGACCAGCGGATTAGATCTGTGCTGTGGTAGATTGGGGCCCCGGGGAAGTACTCGAAGGAGGAGGTGACGAGGAAGTAGTCCTTGTTGACGCGGATGATGGAGGGGTCCGGGTTGAACCCGGGGATGATGGGGTTGTTGTACATTCTACACTACTATAGTGTCTCTCTGACTGACGTTCATCAAATTTGATGGTGATAGTAGATACCTAAGATATTTATTGCGGGGGATTGTTATATAGCGGAGGTGGATAACTTGATGCTTTCTGGTGATTGGTGGAGAAATCCAGTCCAGGGTCTGTCCGTGAGGATCATCTGTCGGATCGGGCTGAATGCATTTACCCATATCCACGTCGATTTAGCCGCAGATGTAGATTGCACAAGGTTGTATATTATGCCGGTACTCCCTGTTGATCTGATAGGCAACGAGGTTGACTTCCTCAGGCTTGAGGCTTCATTCAACTCACGATCAGGTTACTAGGGTGTCCATGACCCTTGGTAGCGCACTGAGCTACAATCTAAGGATCCGGGGCAAGCTTCCCGGGAGAATTGTAAGGGTCCATAATATGGGAAGCTCAGCCAACTTCTTAGATGTTTCACTCGCCATAATGGGCCATGGCTGGTCAACAAGTGCTAGCTTGACTCCGCATCCTCGAAGCAGGAGTAGAGAATGAGGTGCTGTCAACTGTCGCAAGATAGGTGCCAACTTCCTTTAATTTGCGGCATAAGCTGTATGTCTGAGAGGTACAGATGAGTGAAAAGGGGAAGTCGTCGACTCTACCTTATGATTCTTGTTGTATGATGGTTTTGTGGCATGTGATTGTGGATTCCCCGGATGGATCGCGATTCCACAAAAAGGAACAGGGCAGTCCTGACCAAATGGACAGCACGTTAATTTCAGATCATGTGAACCTGACTCCTGGCATGTGCTCCCTGCAAATGCTTGAAACTGGTAAAAATGAGTGTGAGATAATCCGAATACCAGGAGAATGGATCCTAGACTAAGTTATAAGCAGCACAATGCCAAGCTCTTTGTTGCCTGAATGACGAGGCACTATAGTGCTCGGAAGACACGCATCACAACGCCGAGTCAACTGGCAAGGCGACACAAGAACAAGAGATAATAAATCAATAAATGAAGCATCTTCAGCTCATCTCATCTCATCTCATCTCATCTCATCTCATCTCATCTCATCTCATCATCTCATTGAGGCTGTTAATCTGATGACTGATCATGATAATGATAGAATTCAGAGACTCCTCGGTATTGCCGATGAGGCTAGGAATCCCTGCATACCGACGCAGGGCTGATCTTGCCCATCCTGGTCATTTGATCTGTCTCGGCGCGTAGATTACCTTCAGTTCCGATGACTTTTCTTCTTGACCGAAACGACATCACTACTTCCCCTTCAAAGGTCACGGTATTCGATCGGAACACCCCGTAGATTCTGGACTGACTGAAATCAGGCATTCAGGCCACCACGCTGGCTGAGCCGAGGTAGATTCCCCATCGGGAAACGCCGCCCACAGGCCGAGGTGATAAACTCCCCCCCAATCCACTTCCCCGTGGAGAAAAGAAAGGCAGTTATAAGGGTCATTGTCCATTCTTTCATCAACTGCCTCATTTTGCTCAATCTACTCCTTACCTCCCCCAGATTGTCCTGTACCTACCATATTCGCAATGCCTTCTCCTCCTCCCGAATGGGTCAAGGCGCTGACGCCTTCGAGCCCGCAGGGTACCGACCTGCTCAAGCAGGAGCGTGCCCAGTCCAATGTCGAAGTCGACAAGCTTGCAGAGTTCCTACATACTAAAGCGTTCCTGGAGAAGCAGCAGCGCTTTCTTGAGCTTCTCTCGCCCGAGAAGGTCTTCGACAAGTCCCAGATGCACTCCCAGGGTCGTACTGAGCGGATCCAGCGGGCGTTGGCCAAGGGTAAGCGACTGCAGCAGTTGAAGGAGAAATACAACTGGTCGACCGAGGATTACCACTTTGCCAGTGAGATGATTGGAGAGCCTACTCCTTATGGTCTCCATGCGAGTATGTTCTTGGTACGTTACCGTCTGCAGCGTTACGGCAGGGCCTGAGCTAATGGTGTTGTGTTACAGGTGACTCTCCGCGAACAATGTACCCCCGAACAGAAGAAGCTCTTCCTCGAACCCGCCGAAAAGTATCAGATCATCGGTTGCTACGCACAAACAGAGTTGGGACACGGATCGAATGTGCGCGGTCTGGAGACCACCGCTACATGGAACCCCGAGGACAAGACCTTCACTATCCACTCGCCGTCCCTTACGGCATCCAAGTGGTGGATCGGATCCCTCGGACGCACTGCCAACCATGCGGTGGTGATGGCGCAGTTGTTCATTGCTGGCAAGAACTACGGTCCTCACCCCTTCATTGTCCAGATCCGCGATTTCGAAACACATCAGCCACTGGAGAATATCTACGTGGGTGACATTGGACCCAAATTTGGTTACAAGTGAGCATCATCTCTCGGTTCATTTGGTCCCTACTGACCTGTACAGCACCATGGACAATGGTTTCCTCCTCTTCAACAACGTCAAGATCCCTCACATCAACATGCTTGCCCGCTTCTCTCGCGTAGACAAGGAGACGAATAAGTACATGCGCCCCGCGTCGCCATCCCTGGTATTTGGCACCATGACCTGGGTGCGCTCCAACATCGTCCTGCAGGCCGGTTCCGTGCTGGCCCGCGGTGTCACCATCGCCACTCGCTACTGTGCGGTCCGCCGACAGTTCCAGGACCGCGACGCCAAGGCGGACGCCGGCGAGACCCAGGTGCTCAACTACAAGATGGTGCAGATTCGTCTGCTACCTCTGTTGGCAGCCATGTATGCCTTGCACTTTACCGGCCGGGGCATGATGCGTCTGTACGAGGAGAACCAGAACAAGCGCGCCGCCGCCGAGGCCGGACAGGACCAGCGCGGTGCGGCTCCCGAGGCCCTCCGTGCCGGGTCGGATCTGCTGGCCGATCTGCATGCTACTTCTTGTGGTCTGAAGGCGCTGGCCAGTACCACCGCGGGAGAAGGGCTGGAGATCTGCCGTCGCGCCTGTGGTGGCCACGGGTACAGCAGCTACAGCGGTATCGGACCATACTATTCCGACTATCTTCCTACTCTGACTTGGGAGGGTGACAACTACATGCTCACCCAGCAGGTTGCCAGATACGTAAGTTCTTTTTGTCCTACTTATCTGTCAAACAAAGCTAATGCTAGGTAGCTCCTCAAATCCGCGCGTGCGGTGCTTGCCGGCAAGGGAACCGGCAACGATACCAGCCAGATCCTCCAGGCGTACCTTGCGCGTCGCGACAAGGGTGCCTCGTTCGACATTCTCGAGGTGGACAGCGACATTGTGGCCGCGTTCGCCTGGCGCACAGCCCACCTCACCTTTGAGGCGCTGAAGCACCGGGATCTCGAGAAGCGGTCATGGAACAGCCTGCTTGTCGACTTTTGGCGTCTGTCCACGGCCCACTCCCAGTACCTGGTAGTCAAGAACTTCTACGAGGCGGTATCGTCGCCTGACCTGGCCGCCAAGCTCGGCCCGGAGACGACCAAGATCATGCACAACCTTTTCCGGCTGCACGCTCTGCACACGCTGGAGCGCGAGGCGGCCGAGTTCTTCTCCTCTGGCGCCGTGACCGTCCGCCAGATCACTCTGACCCGCACCAACGCGGTGATGAAGCTGCTGGACGAGATCCGGCCACACGCCGTCCGCCTGGTGGATGCCTGGAAGATCCCTGACTGGCAGCTGGACAGCAGTCTGGGCCGTTACGACGGTGATGTATACCCCGATCTGTTCAACCGGGCCAGCCAGAATCCTGTTAATGATCTGGTGTTTGATCCGTATCCGTGGAACGAGGCGGTGCTGAAGAACGCACCCAAGAGCAAACTTTAATTCTTTTTTTACTACTGTATATATTCAGCTGTATATGATAGACAGGGCCACATAGAATAGATGGATGACTCAGTCCTCAGTCACGAAGTATAAAGTACAATGTACATGACATGTCCGATGTCGGAAGCCCTTTGCATGCATCCCCGCAGTATAAATCAACACAACCCCACACCATATCATATCCATGCCATCTGTATACCACATCCTCAATTTCACATTCATTTTGAAAAAAGGGAAAAGGAAAAAGGAACAAAAATGGAAAAGAAAGAATCAGCAACCTACACCCACGGACACCACCCCTCCGTCCTCCGCTCCCACACCTGGCGCACCGCCGCCAACTCCGCCGCCTACCTCCTCCCCCACCTGCGGCCAGACATGCACATCCTCGACATCGGCTGCGGGCCCGGCACCATAACCGTCGACCTCGCCCGGCTGATTCCACAGGGGCACATAACCGGTCTCGAACTCTCCCCGTCCGTCCTCGAGCAAGCCCGCTCCCTCGCTGCCGACCACGCCCTAACCAACATCACCTTCCTGTCCGCCGACGCCAACGCCCTCCCCTTCCCCGAGGGGACCTTTGACCTGGTCCTCTGCCACCAGGTCCTCCAGCACGTGCGCGACCCGGTACATATCCTGCGTGAGATGCGCCGGGTCACGAAAGAAGGCGGGCTGGTTGCCGCTCGAGAATCGGATTATGCGGGGTTCGTGTGGCACCCGGCCACCCCCGGGCTGGACGTCTGGCGGGAGACATACCTGAAAGTGTGTCGGGCGAACGGCGGGGAGCCGAATGCGGGGCGGATGGTGCATGTGTGGGCGAAGCAGGCTGGGTTTGAGCGGCACGAAATAAAGTGCAGTTCGAGTAATTGGTGTTATAGTACGGCTGAGGAAGTGGAGTGGTGGAGTGGGCTTTGGGCGGAGAGGACGGTGGCGTCGGAGTTTGGGAGGACGGCGAGGGAGAATGCGGGGGTTGATGCAGGAGAACTGGAGGGATTGCGAGGGCGTGGAGGGAGTGGGGGTGCAGGAGGATGCGTGGTTTTCGGTGCTGTCGGGGAGGTGCTGTGTGTTAAGGGGGGAGGTGGTAGATGTCCTTTGGGATAGGATTTGTTGGCTCTACGATTCGTATATAGATATGAATGACTACGGGATTTAGTCAAGGGCGGTTCAAGTTGCTTTTTTCTTCTAGCAGATACACCAATTAGGGTTGGATGTCGCAGATTGATTGATAGATTTGATAGAACGAAGTGTCCGTGCCAGAACTGCTGCACTCAAAGAGAGCCGAATCCAGTTGCCCCTGTCACCTTCCATCTTCTGTCCCTGAGATATAGGCGCTTACACCAGGCTGAATGCTGCAAAGCACTCTTCCTCCAATATCCCCCTGTAAATGCGTCAAGGCAGGTTCTTCACACAGCTGGCCTGAACTGGCTGCCGTGGGAGGAGCTCTCATCCACGATTTCCGATTCAGCGAAAGCCCGAGAAGAGGATGGCTAAATAGCCGTACATATCAAATGCGCGGTTATACATCGGCGTGGTGGTTAGGAACTGACGTGCCATCGGCGGCATGTCGTCACCGATCAACGTCTCCTGTTGTCACCGCACCTACCTGGGTCTCCCATGTCTCGACGCAGACATAGCATGCGCTTATCACTGGGAGGGCCCAGTCTGCGTCTGGAGGAGCTGGTATAGGGCGGCTGGGTAGCTCAGCCATGGTCGCAAGTTGCTTGTATTCATGATGAAGCCAGTCGACATCAGCATCATCCGTGGCTTCGTCTGCGAGGTCCGCTAGCCTAAGCCCTGAATATAGGATTGCAAGATACCCACTCATATCGAACGCTCTGTTCTACAGGGGTGTGGCTGTTAAGAACCAGACATGGGGGCGCCTAGCGCAACGGCCTGGTGGACTCTCGTCCGGATGGTTTTGGCCGCGTGGCCTGTCACATACCATGCGGCCGAACCATCGGCCATATTCGAGTCAAATCGCTTGGCTTGCTGATTTGCCCAGTGCCGGAATTTGCTGTCATCTCCGTAGAAACGGACGGAGATTGCCTTGAATTTCGCTCATGTAGAACTGGAGAGCTGCCGCACAGGCCACATATCCATGTCCCTGGGCCACAGGCGTGCATCAGCACCGGGATCTGATAAGCGAACTCAGACGCAGCAGCGTTATTGTAATTGAGTCTGAATTTTGCCACTTGCAGCGTGAACCTTCCTCCGTTTTCCCACGAGGTTGACATCGTCTCGCAGGGGACCCGCCGTGCCAGCGGCAGTGGTTATTTGCTCGAGCCAACTAGATACATGATAATCAAGCCACCTCACCCTCAAAGATCTCCACCTCAATCTCCTCCTCGTCAGGGACAGGAGCAGGCACCCCGGCCATGGTGGACATGACCCCAAGAAGCCGGAAGACGTTGCGGTTAAGCGATCGCATGACATGCACAACCTCATTCTCCTCCAGATAGGAGGTAATGGCTTCTAACTCGGCGATAAAACCCTCGACACCCTCCGAGTCCCGGTCCGCAGGCGCCGTCGCGGCCCAAGTGGCGGCCCGACGGCGAACCTGCAGCGGGACCCGGAGGACTTCTTCTTGAGCCGCTGGCAACGTTTGTACTTGCGGTAGGCGGCGTCCCGTACGCAGGCGCACACCTGGCTCTGGCGGAGGGCGTCCTTCAGGCACCTCTGACAAGGGGCAGAGGGCACGGGCTCGGCGCCGGCAGGAGGGGAAGACAGCCGAGGAAGAACCCCGAGGGCGGCGCAGGGCTGAGGGAGCCACCGGCACGCAGGAGGCTCGCCCCGGGCGAAATGGCGGCACGAGAGAAGCTGTCGTCGGGGGCAGCACTGGTGGCACGCGGCATGGTTGCCAATGGAGAGGCTATTGAGGGACGCCAGAGCGGGGCCCTCGTCCTCAGAGGAGGACGGCTCGGACGCGGCCACGACGCGACGACGGCGCCGAACTGGGGCAATGGGGTCCTCGGACGAAGACTTACCTGGTTAGCACGGCAGACACGACGGCGACACGCCAGAGACAAGAAAGGAAGACTCACCGAGACAGGGGACTCGCCGCCGCAAAGATGCCCGCGGTACCAGGGTTGAATCGCCTGTTTATCGCCTGCTGGTGCAGCATCATCGGCGCCATCAGCCGCTGGGCTCTCGCTTCGTAGGTCAGAGATTAGGGTAAGGAGAACTGGACATTCCACGTTGCTGTTTGTTCCCAGACATGGTTGCCATAAACTCTGCGCCGTTATATACATCTAAAGCCCCTGATCCTGCGGAGCAACAGTTAAAAAGCTAACAGATCTGGCGCGCGAGCTAGGGGAGCACGCAACATTCCTAGGACGATAGACATTGGTGTTAGCAAGAGAGCTAGACAACCACCTAATAGGAAAGAAGTACTCACAATTGACCGGACCACAGATTCTCTAGCCCGAAGCAGGATCAAGAAGGCCTCCCAGATGCGCTGAATGTCTGCCAGGAAACCAGCGTTTGGGTAGTGGTCGTCTCGGAGTGCTCCTTCGCGGAGAACAACAAGGCCGTCGTGAAAGGTCTCTCTAGAGACCCAGTCCAGTGTGGCAAGATGACTGATGCTCGCAGTTTGCGGCAGACCAACGGCCGCGAGCAGAGCCATTGCATTACCTTCATGAATGTGGCGGCTTACCTGGTTTATAAGAGCCAGTATCTCTAACCAAGGGGATTATTGCTCAGCCTGTCGATGGCAGCTTGTGACATACCCTTGATAACTAGCCATTGGTTTCCTTGCCAATAGTTGTGCTCCAACTGGTCTCGAATGGCTTTCACCGCGTTGTGCAGCTGCTTTGGAGTGGAGCACGTCGAGAATGAACGGAGCTGGTGCCTTTGCTGCCATGAAGGTGCGGTAATTATCGGAGTGGCGGGCACAGAGCAAGGAGTAGGGTGCGCAGCAGCATCGCTTGACCAACAGCGATGCTGTTGATCGAAGCGAGCGAATGGCGGCGATTGAGGCCGAATCGCTGGAGAATGGAGGACAGATCGTGATTGTACCGCTCAACAGGACGGGCCAACCCGAATGCCTGATGGAGGATGAGTGCAAGTAGGAGAGGTAGGAGGAGGAAGAACATACCTTGATCAACAAGAAGAACGTGACGAAGCAGACGAACATCACAAAGCAGACGAACACGACGAAGCAGATGAAATTGACGGAGGGCCACAACACCGCGAGGACGGTGGTGTATCCAATGCTAACGCTTGGCACGAGGCTGGCGTGGGTGCAAGCTTTTGTATTGCTGACTCTAGTCCACAGACAGCGAGTGTGGATTCGGATATTTTCTTATCGACTGCGGCTTTGTATGCTAGCCTGGTCACTCGGGTCTTGATCGCTGTTGGCTTTTCGGAATTCCCAGCAGAGATATGCCTCGAAGTCTTCCTTGGTCAGGAAGGCGTCGGTCTGGTAAAATAGTCAGTTGAAGAAAACCGGATGTGTGTCTTTGGTGCCGTTGATTTCCTTGAGAACGTCGGTATGAACATCTGTATATATTGTCTTGCTCGTACCAAGCGCAGTTGGTTAGCGACGTCTGCTTTGCGATTGACACTGTGGCTGCGTGATCGGTATATATGATGACGGTTTTTGTGCATGACTGGATGATGTGCCCTAGTTTGCGGATGCCCCATACAACTCCTGCAATTTCTAACTCAGTTGGCCAGTGTCGACACGGTGTCTTACCGGCAAGAACTCACATTGGTGGATACTTGTGACCCACATCCTGCCCTCCAGGGCAAAACCTTCTTATATCAGCCGTGGTGTCGACAAGGCTCTGGTGCTCCTTTTCAGTGTGGTGGTCTTTCTGGTGTGATTGCTCCTCTCGCGCCAACGTCAAAGGGCCGGGTCTTTTTTCCGCGTGCTTGACTTTGTTTATAACCAGGTTGAAAGGCCAGTAGGCCGGACAGTTTTGCATGTTCTTGAGGTATTTGTGTAGCCATGTCTGTGAGAACCGACGGAAGAGCAAACGATCACTCGTTACGTAGGGCAATTGCGGCTAAGTGAGCGTGCAAATCGAGACGGAGAGCTTGCTGTGTGATGGAATACTGCATGGCTCCGAGCCAGCCGTCCGCGGATCGTCTGTTCAGAGGGACATGAAAATCATATACTCTTGCCTCCTTCAGGGCAATATCATCAAGGCTCTCTTATCCACGAGTATTCCAGTGAAAGAACAAATTGTTCACAGAAGCAGAACCTGACTTGTCAAACCCCTCCAAGAAGCTCTCATCCAGTCTGGATAGGAGACGATATCCGATATGGATACTATCTCAGAGAGAACCATCAAGCCATCGGTTTTAGGCGGATAGTCTCTCGAGGAATTATAAATTCAAGATGGTGGTTTCCGGTCGTCGCCCTGAGCTGGGTTCTGATATGACGAACCTCGTTCATCCTCGTCTCGCCACTGCAGAGGTAGTAGACCAGTCCCATTATGTTTCGGAGGACGTAAGTCGGTTTTGTTACGCCTCGATGGCGATGGGAAGTAGACGTGGTGAACAAGCGGCCAGTCTTTTCTCATGCCATTGTCGATGAGTTTGCAGTATGTAAGAATTATGATCGCGTCTAAGCGGCACCGCATGGCTGGCTCATTATTAGTAAATCTCGCAAATGCCCGATCTTATTTCTCAGGCGTGTCGACTAGTATATTGTCCGTTGTATTCAGTCCTGGGGATATTATGGATACTTACGTAGGTTGCGTGGTGCAATGTCGATAACCTCGTCTTTGGTCCAGAGACCAGGGTCGGTATCGACCAGGGAAAGAGAGAAGGTTACGGACCCTTTGTAGTCCTTCCGGTCCGACTGAGTCGGTTCGTTGTATTCTCTTCTGTCGATACTAAGGAGACTAAATGGAACTGGCAACCCCTGAACTTGTCAAGAGTAAGATATGTGGACGCAGGCTGGTGTAGCTTGCCCTCTGTCACCCCTGTCCACCGCCTTGGCAATGGCCAGGGCCATCGTATCCGATTCCTCATCGGCTGCTCGGTAATAGTCGTCGGGGAGCGGTGAGAAGGACAGGTGATGCGCCTCCTTGTCCGGGGCGCCGCTGCGCTTCATCTCAGCCACAAGCTGGGTAAACCGAACGTGGTAGTCCTGAAGCACCCTTGGGAGGTGTCTCAGATCCACAGACATGATTCGCATTGGTGGGATCTCATCCCCAATCAAAGCAGTTGAGTCTGATACATCCACGGGATCCCCCATGTCCCTTCGCAGACACACCATCCTCACGATCACGGGGAGGGCCCAGTAGGCCGCCCGGGGTACTGGATCAAGGTGATCTTCTTTCGAGCGGGAGACCACCTCTACGGAAAAACAGCACATACCTGTTAGCAAGGATCCATAAAGGACTAGTTGGAGTCACCTGCCTATCTGCGAGTCCCATCCTGCAGTAGCGCCCGGAACACGCAAGGAATATTTGGAACCCCGATCTCAAGTAGGGAATGCAAGGGATCAACTTCGAGGACAGCTGCCGAGATGTCTGTCGACTCCGGCGCCTAGTATGCGTCTGGTTTCTTTGCGCACTTGTTCCAATAGCAGGGGGAAGGCACGTGGAATCAATTCATCAAAGGCATATTTAGCCTAGGTTTAAACAAGCGAGAGTCTTGTGAGCAAATCAGGTATCTTGATTGTTAGGCGCTCGGCCAGAAAGTTGTATGCAAATTTGGCGGACTTCAGGTGTCTGTTCTTATCAGATGTAAGCAATTCGAATTCCGTTGACTGACGCCCGAAAACGCACAACTTCATGCCTCGCGTGTAGGCTGTCTTAGAGCGTGGCAGGAAATTTGCATACTTAGAAGATTGGTATGCTCTGAGGACGAATACGACCAAATGAGAGGCATAAATATAACAGATTGCGTATATGCAAGAATATATCTAAGATGACACGAAGTGACGGCGGATGGTTGAGAAGATAGAAGTGGGCGTTGGGGGTATTTATCCCTGATGGAGGCCAGTGAATAACCCATCTTCAAAGAATCTTTCAATTCATTGAGCAAGAATAGTTGTCTTTTGCCTATCATCAAAATTTATTCACAGACTTATTGAGTCAATGTCTAAGACTCCCTATGGACATTGTCTATAATCATTCACTCAGCCGACCCCTCAGTAATCATCTCTCTCCTCCACCTCCTTCAAGGTCTGTTCCTTCGTCAGACGTGGGTTGCGGATACAGAGCGAGAAGGCGATCAGGGGCACAGTCAGACAGATACCCGTGATACACAGCAATCTCTGCGCATGCTTGTAGGCCAAAACCACAGCGTCCCGGTCCGGCGTGCCGATGGGGTTTAATGTGGCGAAGCCGAAGGGATTACCATAGACTTCTGCGGCCAGTGTCGCGTTGCCAAGCCGATTCTCCAGCTCGCCGGGCAGGACCTGAGTCCAGATGGCGCCGGAGATGGTGTTTCCGAGGGCGCTGCCGACGTTGTACGTGGCGAGGTAGATGCCGGTGATGACCGCAAGATCTGTGGTGGTTAGCTTTGCGAAAGTTCCCGGGGACGCCAGACTTACGCTTATGCTTGGAGGCGGCTTGAATACTGGCCTGAGCTGGGTAAGGGAATAGACCACCGGCTGGACAGGTCAGTGGACAGTTTCTTACATGAATGGGAGCTCACTTACCAAAACCAAGCAGGATCTGACCACCGATGATCCCTGCATGATTAGAGCCGTCTGCGCCTCCCCGGAATCGGATGAGGATACCAAAGGCTGCCATGAAGATCAAGGTACCCGCGACAATGAACGGCTTGAGGCGTCTCACATACACGACCATGGCTCCGAGAGCAGTTCCCGTTAGCACAGAGACGAAGCTACGCATGTCAGTTAGGCCCAATACTGGCTGAAAGGAGGACAGACCTGTAGAGCGAGGTAATGCGCGTGGCGCTCATTGTACTCTCGTCGAAGCTCACAATGAGAACGGTGTAGAGGTAATCGCCTTGCAGGGTCCATGCTAGTCTATGTTAGCAACGGCTTGCGATGTTCCTTGGTGTGTATATACCTGTATTGAGCATGACAGCAATTCCTAACGCACCCCAAACCGCTCGATCTTTCAAGAACTGGACCTAGTCAGTCGATTCCGTACATCAGGTAGGAGAGACTCTACCTTGAAAGGGACCATCGGGTGTGGACACCACCGCTCCCACATTATGAAGGCTGGAACGCAGAGTACTCCAATGACAAGAGGGGCAATGACTTTGGCTGTCTTCCACTGCGTCACGGCACCTCCGGCAATCGTGAACGGAACGAGGATCAGAGCCAGGAGGGCAATCAAGAGCAGAATGCCAACCACATCCAAGTACCAGAACAGGTCGATAAAAAATCGACCAACTCCCTGGTCCAAGAGGGAGAACCTATAGGCCAGGGGGTTGGCTCGGCGAGCCTTGAAGTGGCCCACGAAGAGGACAGCGAGCAATGGAATGGTGCAGACGGGGTAGATGATGGCGAACATTCCGATACCCCATTTCCACGACGTGACTCCCAGGACGGCGGAGGTGACGTTACCGCTGATCCAGGTATTAATCTGTCATTGTGAGCTTTTCCCCACTGAAACGGGGACGGATATCGTACAATGAACGGCAATGCAGGAATATACGAGAAGAGCAGTCGAGACCGCGTGGATGTCACGTCGGCGACCAGAACCTCCACCAACAGGATAATTGAAGTATATCCGATCTTGATTTCCCGGTCAGCGGCAGTTTCATCGCTAGTTATCAAGGCGAAATACCTGGTAAAGCACGGCACCGATACAGAACTCGTACAAGCGGTCGGAAGCTGCCTCGACGATCGTGCCTACAGTATAAAAAACAATCGACAGCAGGACGAGCTCCACTCTCCCAAAGACATCTGCAATTTTAGCCGCGGTAGGCTGTTCCAATTAGCGTGGGAAGACAGGAAGATCAAGGCAGAAGGGCTGGTATACCTGAGCAGCAGCAGCAATTACCGAACGTAGAACATTGACCGTCGCCAGCAGACTGTGTGACCCATATTCGGCAGTCGCCAGAGGCTAGGAACGTTAGATGACATGTATACACCCTTGAAAGACGCATCCGTAAGACAAAATACCTGATAAGTATACCGAATTGTTCCATCCAGACCATAGACATAGGCGATAAGGAAGACACCGAAGAAGAAAATGATGCGGTGGACCAGATTGAACTGCGATGAGATCACCTCGATCCGCCTCACACCGGGACTACCGATGCCTCCAAATCGTTCAATGGGGAGGTCAGGCTGGACACGCGACTCAACGGCATCGGGGGCATTTTTCTCAGGGGAGTCGTGCATCGCCATGTTCACTTGCAGATCGTCACCGGTATAGGGGCACGAGAAATCGAAAAAAGAATTGGTCAGGCGGGTCAAGGCCTGCCTTAAGAACCCTGGTGCCACGAAGAGGGCCGCCTATTAGAGTTTGGCGAGCTCTGGTGCCAATGTCTTGGCGACTTTTAGTCGGCAGTACTCATCTTATCTGATGAGAAAATTGTGGAAGGAAGGAAATTGAAGCCGACAGACGTCAAGAAATGGACAAAGTTGGAGGTTTCAAGAGGAGACACGTTGGTGGTGGATGATGGATGGTCGTTGTGAGGCCGTCCGCATGCGGAAAGACCTGTCCACCATGATTGTTGTCTCGATCATATCCAGCAACAAAACGTTGCATCGGTTCGATCAGATAACCCAAAAAGACTCGGAAAATCCCTCTATCGGTGGTGGGGTTATCAATCAGATAAGCGGATCAGAAACTAAAACTAAAACTGAAATTTTTTCTGGTGGAATGACCGAATCGCTGCTCACGCTGGGGTGCGCCAAGTACTTAGTCCCGGCCCAAGGGCATCCAGCCCATCACACAGTCACACCGAGGTCAGGCCACCAATTCAGACGGGTGGGATGCTGGAAAGGGAAAAAGCAAAACTAATCATTTGACCTTGTTGTACACTTGGGTATCTCGTATTATACATGTCTGGTGCCACAAACTGCCAAAACAAAAAATAAGTACCTCAATAAAGTCAACACCAATGTCATGTGGAGACATTCTCCTTGGATCACGCTCCATTGCCAAGATCGCACATTAACTGACAAAGACTCTGGACCAATGGGGGACATTATCCTGGTGAGTGTCGCGTCGCAGGTCGCACTTGAACTGCCTCCATGATCTGACTGGGATCGGCGATGACAGCAGCACCATGGAGAGTCTGCAAAGCTGGACAGTCGCACCCCAGCTAGATGGACTTTTGCAGGTTGGTCGTTTCCTCGCCGTCTAGATCGACCGCTGGTCAGGGACATCAGACTACGGGTCCGATAGCGGACTGCCGACGACCGCTCGAGAGTCCTTGACTCTCGATACAACACGGTAGGACCAAAACGCGAGACTGCCGTGGCAGACTCCCAAAGCAAAGAACCCGGTCAAAGGTCCCAGAGGCGACTCTAGTTAATAATGCTGATCCACTCGAGCACGCTCTGGTACACCTGTCAGGCTTCGTTCTTGTCCTCCTTGCCGGCGAACAGCTGCAGTGCTTCTAGCGACATGTGGAGGAATATGGAAATGAGTCCAAAGACCAAAACAATCACGGGTTTGAGGGTGCTAACCGTCTCGAAACAAAGCAGCATGCGCGGATGTTGCAGTGCTTGCGACAACTCTTGATGTCTTGGAGTGATCAGCAAGGAACTCTTTCTCGGCTTAGGTCTTGTCGAATCCGACTTCGTCCTTGCGGACCACCACGTCTACCTTGGGCGCGGTCCGCTGCTCCAGCCAACGTGATCCCCGTCTTGATGAAAGCATCGAGGAAGCTGCGCTGAATCTCGACCTCTGCCTTGTAGTAGAATGGAAGATCCTGTCGACCAGTGATGAATCGCAAGTACTTGAGCTCGCTGCTTGCCTGTATGTAGCCCTCCACATAACTCCGCAGGTGCAGAGGATACCACAGATGTCGGGACGTATGTATTTCCTTGGACGAGTAGTAGATATCATCGCGGAAGTGATTCTCAGGGTCCGTAGATCGACTAGTCTTCTCGGTTGGCCATCAGCTCCTCATTCGGGAGGTCGCCTTCACTGGTACGTGAGCTCCAAAGCGTGACAGAGTCCACAGAACCATAGTTGCTCGAGCGAAGCCGCTTTGAGTATCAAATATTGGGCCGGCCATTCACATATCTCCAAATGCCAACAGTGTCCCTTTACGGCTGGAGATAGATGTAACCAAGTTCGAGGCGGTCGAAACAGAAATGTTTCGTGCTCAGCATCAGCCAGGTGAAGCAAGGGCCAAGGCTAAAGACTTGACAGCTTCGCGAACGCTCACTCGACGGCAAGGCTTTTTGACTTATTATTTCAGTGAAGCAGCTCGCAAACATGTGGCGACACTGACTCGCTCTCATTGCCCTATTTGGTGGCCAGCGACGCTGACAGCCATAATCTGAGAAAAGTCTTCTTGTACACCGCGCCGGTCTCCATGAAGGTCTCCTGGTTGCTGTGCTGGCGTCAGGTTCTGGCAGTCCCGCTGAGCTGCAGACCTCTAGCGAAGTCGTTGATATTGATCCCTACCATGCCACCCTCACTCTCGGGGAACGGAGAGGTGGTCTAGGGTGACATGGTCATCGCCGCAGACGCTGTAGGTTCTGTTGCGTAATGCATCGGCGCCAGCAACATTGCCCCTACGGCTCGTGTAGGAATGCATTACAACTCTTGATGTTGCGCCCGGCGGCACTGGACGATCCCGATTGAGGACCTAGCGACGGCGTACGTTATCTTCCCAATATCTGTTACGATTGCAAGGGAGAGGTGGGGACCGAGTATCCGGTCTTCAACCCGCATGCAGCAGAATCCAAGGCAGTCCCATCAAGGTGACGCGAGTGGCAAGACAACCAAAGCTTCCTTCCTGATTGATGCGGTGGGCTGGGAATCTCTGCGAAGCCTGCGGTATATCATTCCGCGCTAAAGTCCGAGAGGATGAGCATGTCCCAGATGTATCATCATCAATGCGCCTGGAGCAGCACTTGTCGAAAGAGAAGTTTGACAGGGCTGTCTCTCATGGCTGTGAGCGCGCCGTCCCGAAATGCCACATATGTACCAGTTCGCTCATTACGGTTCAAGAATAGCATGTAGCATCCCGGAGCAATTTTATAATGGCTGGTAAGTCATGTTCATAGAAGCCGCCAGTACTTCTGCTCAGCTCTTAAATATTCAAAAGCCCCTATCTACCGCCATACGAGTCGTGAGCGTGTACATTATTGGCCCGGCTCATATTGAAGGCCACTATGATCTGGGATTCGGATCCCACCAATCGTCTCGGCGTCAAACGCCCTAGAATCTAGCTGCAGTGATGTCTCCTGTTAGCCTGGTAAAATACACGACCTGTCTCCAAAAGTACTCTATTGGAAACTGCTCCCCGCATGTTTGGGGCAGATTCCCATAGCTCACGAAGCATCCACCGTGGTTCTCAGGTGGGGTCAGGCAACGCAACGAAGCTAATGTCACAGGGAGCGACAGACTTGACGTTCCAATGTATGCCAAGGACGATCAATAATATCAGCGACTACTGTGAGGTCAATAGCCAGATAACGGACGCCTATATAATTGTTCTGTCGACATTTCATCGCTGATGACATTGACAGGTTGCATCGGTTCCTGATATTCTGGTGTTTAGTCGTTGCTCGACTACCGTGGCTTTAGATGAAATCACGAAAAATCGCGAGATGGATGCCCCTGGCATTCGGCCGATGATGTCAGAAACGGCTGTCCTCGTGGCATCAGGCCAGGATAAAATCAGGCGTTGCACCATCTGGAAAGGCAGGTGTCGACCGTGTGAGGCTTTAACCTGCGGTCGCATCAGAGGCGCACGGCACAAATATCCGCCGCAATCATCCCATTGCGATTGATGAAAAAAGAGCTTGATATAAGCGTTGCATATAGATACAGGGGTAGTCTATCCCAGATTCAAAGCTCAATGGCCATCAATGAGGCCCTAGTCGGCGTCGCAGGGACGGTGCCAACCGCCCTTGCAGGTAGTACATTGATTTAATAACAGACGTGATTATATATCAACACCCTGGCTGAAGAGGGATGAATAATCCGAATAGAATCCGGGTGACTTGGGTAGAAGGAGAAAGAAAAAGGAAGAGAGGAAGGGAAGAGGTGATGATGACACAGGATGGCTGCCTGTCAAGAGGGCCTGATAGATAATACGGAATACCTAATCGGGCGGGCTGCCGGGAATTGACCTCCGCCATCAGCTGCACATCACCAGAAGCGCAACGCTTTTGTTTCTCTCCCACCACCCTCATATCCCTCATCAAATCATTCATTGCCTTTCTCTCCTGCTTGCGAGCTACCTTGGTAGTCAGCTCCTGTAACCGTCCTCCTGCCTTTCGTCTTCCTTCGTCTCTCCACCTTTTCCCCTTTCTTGCCCTCCTTCATCTTCTTTGTGCCGCCCCTCTCATCATCCTCCGTTTGTCCCTGTATGAACACCTTGTTTAGAACTCTTTTTGATCACTCTCTTCCGCTACACTACCTGTCATTCTCGCCTTGTACATTGCTAGAGACGACCTGAAGAACTAAGCCATATCATTATCTGGCTGGACTCGCGATCAAGCTAAGAAGCTTTCCCCGCACCGCACGCCTTCCAACACAATGTGAGTCGGTCGGGCTGAATCTGAACCCCGGCGGGCCGCCTTGCATCATCTGTTGCTGATAATTCTCTTCTGCTCTCAGGCGCATCACTGTCAGCGTTATTCGACCGGACCAGGCCGACTCTGACATCATCTCCCTCGAAGTCGGCGGGGATATGACGGTCGAGCTTCTCAAGGCTATCGTTGAGAGCGAAACATCCATACCCACAAATAATCAGCGTCTTGTATATAACAACCAACTACTTGGAAATGATGCGCAGACTTTGGAGCAGATTGGTATTGGGGAAGGCGACATGCTAGGCGTTCACGTTACAATGCGGAGCCCTCAGGCACCTGCTCGCAGCATCGGAGGCGGCCCCAGTGCAGCGGCTCAGCAGAACCTTCAGCGGCGGCAACCGATGACCCCCGACCCCGAGACAATCCGGCTACATATCCTGGGTGACCCTCGCGTGCGAGAGGCTGTCCGACGGCAGAACCCCGAGCTGGCAGACGCTGCGAACGACGCGCAGCGGTTCCGTGACGTCCTGATGGCGCAACAACGCCGGGAGGCTCAAATGGAAGCAGAAAAGGAGGCGCGCATCGCCATGCTGAATGCGGACCCTTTCAATCCGGAGAACCAGAGGGAGATTGAGGAGATCATTCGGCAGAATGCAGTGACCGAAAATCTACACACTGCCATGGAGCATCATCCCGAATGTAAGTGGCAGTTGATCTGAGGCTTGCTATCAGAGACTAACGAGAGCGCAGCATTTGGTCGCGTGACCATGCTGTACATTCCTGTTGAGGTCAACGGCCACAAGGTAAATGCCTTTGTCGATTCCGGCGCACAAGTCACCATCATGTCTCCCGAATGTGCGACCGCGTGCAACATAATGCGACTGGTGGACCGACGGTATGGGGGGATTGCAAAGGGTGTGGGAACGGCGACCATTCTGGGTCGGGTACACTCCGCGCAGATCAAGATTGGGAGCATGTTTTTGCCCTGCTCCTTCACAGTGATGGAAGGGAAGCACATCGATCTACTCCTTGGGTTGGATATGTTGAAGCGACATCAAGCGTGCATTGACCTGAAGAAGGGGGCCCTGGTCATCCAAGACGAAGCCGTGCCGTTCCTCGGTGAGGCCGATATCCCCAAGGAGCTGCAGGAAGGCTTTGAGGACGAACCTATCGTCAAGGGTGCTGATGGTGCCGAGGTCGGCGCTCGAACCGGTGCGGTCACACACCAGGCCAGCGGATCCGGCATATCAGCGGCTGCTCCGTCATCGTCGACGCCTAGGATCAACATCCGCCCGGCGCCGTCGTCCCGTTGGCCGCAGGACTCGATTGCGAAAATCACTGAGCTCGGATTCACTCGGGAGGAGGCCGTCCGAGCATTGGATGCAGCCAATGGGGACCTTGATGGAGCGATTGGTTTTTTGATTTAACATGTGATATCACCCGCAGGCCACTTTGGAACACGACATACTTGCATCTATACCGGGATCATCCGACTAGACCGTTATCTTGAGCAATCGCAAAAACGGAGCTTCCTCGTCCAGGCCGGCCTTGGTCGTCTAGACCTCTGCAACTACTTTAGAGAGGTCTATGCCTTGCTTGCCTGTGGCGCATACCTTGGTAGTGTTCTAGACTTCGACAATCGATCGATGAGATGTCCTGTCATGTTGTGGCAGCTTGTAAGATAAGAGGTCAGGAATGTTGCTGCAGTGAATACACACATCTTATGCCGCGAACCATCTCGCCTGTCATGCTGTGACGCATTTTGTAGAATAATTGACGCATTGTCTATTAATCATTTCGCAAGGCGAGCTAGAAAGCTATGTAAGCAACGCATATATTTTCAGCGAGCTCAAAAACAACAGCATCAAAAATTCCAACCGGCTTCACAGGGTATCAGACGGTAACAATTCATAAACAACCAACCCGCTATGCAGCACGCCATCCACCAAAAACCTACGCCAGCTTCCTCTTCCCCACCAACTTCCCCTGAGCCTAACCACCATATCCAGCGCCATAAACGCCCCTAGACACACGTCAGCGCGCCCCCATCGCAATCAAACCTCATACACAGAGTAAGACATCCATACCTAACGCAACATAAGGCCCATAAAGCATCGTAATACTCCTCTTCTGCGCCACGGTACGATCCTCCCAGCTCCACACCTGCACCAGACACGCCAAACTCGTCACGAACGCCTGCACGCCGAACGCAAGCAGATGCACCGGGACCATAGCGTTATCGCGGATCAAAGCGGGAATAGCCCAGATGCTCAGCGGGGCGTGGTAGAAGAGCTCCATTGCGATGAACGCGGTGAACCAGGGGGGAGGGGGCTCGGCGAAGAACTTGTCGTTGTAGGAGGAGACGTAGAAGGCGCGCATTTGGTGCGCGAGGTTTGTTTGGAGGGCGGTCGGAAGGAGGGGGACGGCATCGACCACTGATTGCATGAGCTTTCTTTCTATGTTTATTAAGGGAGGGTTGCGATGAGTGTGGCTTCACGTACGGAAGATGGTTGGGATGTGGATGATGAAGAAGATGAGATAGACGAGGTCGCGTTTCCGGCTCCAGATGGAGGCAGAGGCTGGTGGGGATGGCATGGTGATTTCTATTCTATCGCTTCACTAGGATATGGATTTCGTGAAGCAGTGAGCGACAGATTGATAGATGGAGCTCTACGGTAAGTCGCGTCTACGGAGCGTCGGGGGAGGAACGCAGGACAGACACGGAACCACGCGCGGTCAGGTGACCGGCTCAGAAAAAGCAAGCTACCTTACCGACCGGCTGTTCATGAGTCCCAAAGTACTGGAATGGAATATTCTAGAGAGATTCTATTGATATGGATAACAGCTAAGGAGATAATTGCTTTTTCGACTACGCGCTCTCAGACTCCAAAGTAAACACTAAGGCAGAAGTTAAGCTTAGCTACGCGGATCGGGGGTACTATGGTACGGATACACACTACACTACACAGTCGGGTAGACTAATAGTATGCGGACATGCTCCGTCACCCATGGTTCGAGCATGAGATCGCTGTTTTTTGCTTTTTCTGCTTTCGGTCTCTATATCAACGTCTGCCTTTCTTTTCTGCCTTAACAAATATGGTCGTCAGACTCCCATCAGCGATCTGCTGCGATCAGCACTTGTCTGATGATCTTTTCACCCTGGCCGTTTGACCGAGCAAACGAGGGCCTTCACCGCAAGTCTGAGACTTAGCATTTGTCATCGACGGAGAAGAGGCAACTTCCAAGTCGTCGTCTCCTTTTGTCGGAACTGGACTGACGATGGACGGCATGTGGTGACGGTCGTCGCGGCAGACCTTGTCCTCTTCCACTACTGCTAATTCGCTCTCTTCAGCCATTGCGCAAATGATACGTACAGTCTCCTTTCCTGTCACTCTCTGTGGGTATGCATTGAAGGATCAAGCATATGATCGAGGCAATTTCCTCGACGTGTTTACTTTACTAGTCTCCTAATCTAGTCCATGTTTCCATATTTTACGATTTAGACAGGCCGATCCTGGTCGAAATATTCATCGCGCATTTGGCTATCTGCGCAGAACCAAAGTTACAGACATTGCAGGTTAGGTTAGCACGCCGTTAGCGTCAGCCCACGCCCTTCTGGCTTTAATCTATCGCACACACTAGCCGGCTAGTCCGTCGCCAGGGGACCTTGAAGTTGAAACGTGAGACGGTGTTTGTCCCCCCGGATGTATGTTTGGGGCGAAACCTTGGGCGTCGGGATTCGATAATCCACAGTCCACACAACTTTCTTTGCCTACAATTGGATAGAGAATGCAATATACGAAGACACGCGACATGGTAGTAATTTACGGAAATAAACGAATCCTTCTCGTGGAAATTGGGCCACACCGGCCCGGCTGGCGTCACAATTGCCATTCATTGACCATATCCGGATATCGTTTCGTAAGAGCAAATATGCCAAAGAGACAACGAAGTATTATCCAGGGGTTAGGCTGGAGGTTAGAAGGTCGAAGCTGGGGCCTTGTCGTCGACTCGTCACGCCATGTGCGATCCTTGGGACTTAGGACTCGATCTATTCGATCTCATTCATACATCACCGACGTAGAATGAATTCAGGCAAGCCGGCAGAAGTACGAAGTACGGAGCACAAATGAGTGAATTACCTTGCCGGTCTTGTTGGCAATCGGGTGCGGATATTCTGATGCAGACTGCAGACTGCATGATGCTTCATGCTTTTGCTACAGGCTACTCTACGGATAGGAACATTATCATCATCGCTCGTATCTTTGTTGTCTATCTTTGAGGACGGAATTTCAACTAGACTCGTAAAGCGTTGTAGCCAATGTCCGACACGATGCCATGTGGGGAACCATGATAAACCACAGGCGTTGAACCGCGTTCCCGAAAAGGAACAGAAGGGCGTTAAGTCTTGGCTTGGAACAAGCGTAGGTGGGACTACTTCATAGGCAGATTCGATTAATTGGAATATTCCACGCTGTCATGTTCTGATGCATCAAGTCCATAGGTAACCGTTGTTATGTTACCAAGGCAAAAAGCTCCGTTACGCCGCCCGTTCAAACTGGGAGTACGACGCTGGAGAACTAGCCCCGAAAGCGAGTGTTCCGTCCAGTTCCAAGTTCTGGTTCCCATGGTCTGGATCTCTGAATGGAGATGGTGGTCGGGGAAGATGGGATAGCTTCCCAATCCTGGTCTCCTTCGTCTCTAGTCTGAGACCGAGACTGAGACGGGGAGCAACGACAGGGCCCGAGGAACATGCATGCCTTAGGCAGTTAGGTTAGGTTAGGCTTAGGCCACGGCAATTCAGCCCAATACCATGCCACAAAATCAACCAAATCAGCCAATTCGCGTAGTTCAGCCGAATATTTAGCGATCAGCATGAGTTTATCCAGGGGTTCTCTGTGTTCCAAAGAAGATTGATAGATACTCCACAATAATCATGTAAGCCAGTCCGCTGCATCACATTGCGACATCTTGCCTTATCAGCAGCAGCAATAAAAACCCACCACTCACGATCCACAGTCAAATTGCCGTAGAAAAGCCCTAGTCTGCGGGACTAGATCACGGTAGTAGACTAGCAGGACGAACAGCAGCCAGGGTTACTCATACTCACCACTAGACTCCGGAGTACTATTGAGTATCTACTGCGCGATATCCTCGGTCATCCGTAGTCGACCCCTAGCCTAGGTTCTACCAAGTGATGCAAGGAGTATGCAAGATAGTAGAGCTTTGCTACCAAGCTGCTGCAGCTACTACTACTACCAGAGTCAACAGCTCCGTTCCTTGGTTGGTTTCGTCGTCCGTACTCCGTATGCTGCGACATGCTCCACTCGGTTTCTAACTGCCTTATCACTGATGGGATCTCTGCGTTATGAGCAGATTAAGCGGTGAAACGGTAGAAGCGAATAGTCTACCCCGTAGAGTAGTACAGCTATCTACAGAGTACAGACTACAAATTGAGACAAAGGCAGAGCCCAATTCCCCGGAACACGGCGGGAGGAGGGAATGGTTACTGTAGATGGTTAGGAGGAACCTACCGTAGAAAATACCCGTTAGTATTCCACGATACTTAGACTAGCTCCTGGGGGCTTGGGTTTAGGGCCGAGGAGCTAGTTTCCTTCTATTACAGAGTATTTAATAAGATAATATCAATTAGTATTATAATATCCTTGTCAGAACATGATTCTAACATAATAATACAGAGCCAAAGAACCAATCGGCATCGCAATCAGTCACATCTGCGCAAGATGGCGCAAAGCTATGGGATAAATCTCAACGGGCCCCGGTAATAATGAAGATGAGAATGTCAGTAAGGATAGAACTTGAAGCCAGATGGACCCTTCCCAGGACTCTTGACCGCTTTTTTCTTTCCTTCTTTCTTCTGTCTTCTGGTCTGAACTTTGAATTTACAACTCGTGAAGTATGAAGTTCTTTGGGCTTACCATGCCGCTGCCCCTCCGTAGAGCAACTCTCCCCCTTTATGGCGATTATCCTGCATCTCCCCACTCATAAAGACTGAGAGTAACTGCATGAACATGCAACCTCATCAATTATATTATTATCGGCTTTCTTTTGAATTCAATTAATCTAACCACAAGTCCCCGGCCCGGAGATGAAAGGGAAATAATGAGTTTCCTAGTCTATCTAGTCTAGTCGCGGCCCTTTTTGTGACGCACGCCATTGCAACGAGATCATTGGCGCCATGGAGACGATGTCATCCACTTGGCTAAAACATTGGAATTAGATTATTTCGATTTACCTTTGATGTCCTGCTCGGCTTGCTTTATGTATGCAAGTAGTATGTCAGTATGTGCGTCCGTACTATGTCTTTATCGCCAGATGACGACTTGGTGGAGGCGAACGCTATTTACTGACTCCGTATCATACTTGAGACTTGATTAAGATTATTATTTTACAGCTTGATATTTTATGTTTTTTTTGTTTTATCTATCATCGGCAGAGTTCTCTATTTATTCCATTGCCGTCCTCGCCTTGACATCTAGACTTTTCTTTTCTTTTTCCTCTGCAGCATCAGATTTCGCCTTTTGAGTATATACCTGAGAAGCCTCACAAGGTCTTCTCCACCACCACGAGGAACAAGATTCTCCCTGCGTGTCCTCTTCATCTTGGCTTCTGTTTCATTTCATGAATAAAAGTTTCGCTTGAGCTCTCGAATCCTTTTTCGACATTGCCCTATCTAGACTTTTTCTCTCCATCATCTCAAGCATCTCTCCCATTCCGTTAATCATGCCTGCTTCAGCCCCCGTCACACCACCCAGCAAACCACAAGCTGTCAATCCTCACGAGGATGAGATCCCCATCAGCTACGACATCAACATCCCCTATGTCGATGTCACCAAGGAATCCACTTCACGCACCAGATACCCCGAGTACCTCCCCACATGGGACAAAGTCTGGTTTGATCCTCTGCCCCCTTCAAATACGACGATCCGGCGCTGCGCGTAAAGGACAAGAGCAAGCGCAACCTGCTCACCCCGGTGTCAAAGTCTCGCACATCCAACCCCAGATCGGGAGTGTCGTGGAAGGCGTGCAGCTGAGCCAGCTCTCCGACGCCGCCAAGGATGAACTGGCTCTGCTAGTCTCGGAGCGCAAGGTCGTCGCCTTCCCCGCGCAGGATCTCATTGACGCCGGCCCGGAAAAGCTGGAGCAGTTCATGCGCCATTTCGGGAAACCAAACTACCAGCCTGTCTCCGGGACGGTGCGCAATCACCCCGGATTCCATATCATCCACCGCGACGGCAACCGCCAGGAAATCGCGCGCTTCCTCGAGCAGCGCACCACCACCACCCTCTGGCATCAGGACGTGAGCTATGAAATCCAGCCCCCAGGCTACGTCATGCTGGGCCTGCTCGAGGGCCCTGAAGTAGGCGGCGACACCGTCTTTGCAGCCACAGACCTGGCATACAAGTAGGCCCTCCCCCTCCTCCCCTTCTTAACTCAAAAAACTGACCGCAGCAGACGCCTCTCCCCAACATTCACCTCCTTCCTCGACGGCCTACGAGCCGTCCACTCCTCCGCCAAAATGATCAACCACACCAGACTCACCGGCGGGCTCGTCCGGAAAGACCCAGTGGATACCGTCCACCCGCTCGTGCGCGTCCACCCCGTCACCGGTGAGAAATGCCTCTTCATCAACGGCGAGTTCATCACCCGCATCCAGGGCCTCAAGGAGCCCGAGCAGCGCTACCTCATCGACTTCCTCATGCAGCACATCATGACCGGCCATGACTTCCAGGCCCGCGTGCGCTGGCAGCCAAAGACGATCGTCATTTTTGATAATCGCTGCACTATTCGTAAGCCTCCCCCTTCCATCCCTACCGTTGCGTTTAGCGTCAAGCGTTGGGTTGCTGACAAATCACAGACTCCGCGATAGTCGACTACCTCGATGACGACTACGGCGCGAAACTCAGACATATCTTCCGGCTGTGTGCGCTGGGCGAAAAGCCAATCCCTGTTTATGATCAGTTCGAATAAGCGACAGACGCCTACTCTTGCTAATCGCGTTCGCAAAATAAAATTGCAGGGGTTTAGTCCATTTCCTTGTTTCGGGTTCTTGTTCCTTTCCCGGTTATACAGATACAGATACAGATACCTCGGTTCGGCTTGTGGATTCGATTCGGTTCTTATAGACGGTGTGCGTGTCAGTTCTTGGTCGGGGTTCTTAGACTTGGTCTTTTTTTGTTTCATTTTCATTCTCATTCAGGCCTGTGATTTAGATAGACTTGTTTGATTTGCTGGTTTGTTGGTCTGTTTGGCGTTGCTTTAGCGTGTGATGTTTGCGAGTGCCTTACTTTATTTACCCTGTCGGTAGATAATCCTAATGAACCATGATATGACTTCGATTGAACTGTCTAAGAGTTCTAAAAAGATACCTAGTATAGTCTTCCACAGCTCTTCAATTCGTTCAAAAAGATGCATTGACAATGGCAAAACTATGACCTGCCTTTTTCATACCAACAGCCTTAAATGCCGTCTCGCAGCGAAACTACTGAAAGAAAAAATAACGCCATATGCTCACAGTAACTCAAAAGAACATGCAGAAAACAGCTACCATGTCGCAATTGTACACTAGCATAAATTCCATCGACTCGTTACCGCAGAATTTCTGCAATCCGCGTGCGCAGCTCATGCGCAGCTTGCATCTGCTCGGGTGCAATCCCGCCCTGTTGCAACAGGAGAAGCGTCTCCGAGACACGCTCCGCAACTGCGTCGCTTCCGAACACGATCCCTCCCAGCCGGACTGTCTCGTGGTACCACACCTCGATCAGGTACAGCAAATCCCTGGCAATGTATTTGCGGTTCGATCCGTGGAATGGCGCCTCGTCAGTGTAATACATCGCTTCGAGCACGGCGTAGATGGTTTCGTGTGCAACGCCCAGATCCAGGAACAGATCAACAATCCACGTCGGCGGGCCGACATCACGCTGGTGCTCGAGCGCATACCGTTCAAGCATCGGTAGGAGGTCCTTGATCGGGAAGACGGTCTCGGACATGCGCAAACGGCTGCCGAGACTGCGCACCTTCTCAATCACAGCTTCGTATGGTTGAGGCTCCCCCTTTGCGAGTGTCTCATCATGCAGGTCTTGGAACAAGTGTTGCCATGTCGACCTGATATCCGCTGAATTGCGATAGTCCGCGAGGTAGAAGATCTGAAGGCAGATGTCGTAATAGCTAGCGGGATCGGCGTACTGGTTGAACAGCTGTAACACAAATTAGTATGCCCTTACGAATGCATGATTAGAACTGGAACGTACAGTACTGATGTCCATGATGGGGCCGTCCACCTCTTTCAGAACCTCCGTTCGGCGCTCGGGTGCGATGCGCGTGTCATCCTTCAGCCGCTGCAACAGATCGTCCTGGATGTTGGCAATATCGATGAGATTCGAAATGTCCTGCACGAGGCGCTGCCGGGACTGCCGGCCCACATCTGGAGTGAAAATTGAGGCGTTCGCCCGGGCGCGGCCCAGGTATTCGATCCTGCGAGCAAGAGGCAAAGCAAAGGCACTCTGCGCAAGGTGGTACTGAACGTTGGCGGCTTCGTAGAATCGCTGCGACTGGGCAAAATATCTCCAGAGCAGGTCCGCATGAGCGATGTCATCGGCTGACTTGCGCTCGAGGTATGTGACCACAAACGGAGAATTGTTCTGCAACAAACGATCGCTCCACCCCTGCTCGAGGTACCAGTCATACAAACTCGTCAAGAACACCTCGTCGGTCGAATCTGAAATTACGCCATAGGCCTCGTTCTTGCGTTTGGCAATGATTGTGAGTTGCCCATCAACCACACCCGGATCACGCGCTGCAAGATTGTCAACGGCGATGATGACCTTGAATATCAAATCATAGCATTGCTTTCTGAAGTAAAAGTAATCGCGTCGAGAATCCTGCGGGCGCGGATTAGCATGCTGCCTATCAAACAATGTCACAAGTGGATCCCTACATCTTCAGGGCGGCCGTCCACAATCCACGACAGTGCCATGTTAGCCTTGTCGGAACGAGCCGCGACGTTGAGAGCCAGCTGGATCGCGCCTGAAAATTGTCAGTTTTCACCATCCATGGTTGAGGTATCAAGACATACCTGCAAAGAACTGATTGGAGATGTAGCTCTCGACGGCCGAGACCAGGTAATCCATGGGAAGGCTGTCAGACACTTGCTGGAACAGATGGAGACTCTCATTCAGCAGATTCCGACCGACTTCCGAGTTGGCCCCTGCTTCGGTCGCCCTCTTCAACAACTCTTGAGCCTTGAAAATGACCACGTCCTCGGCACTGCAGAAGCTCCCGCATCGTCGTCTGAGTGCATCAGCCACGGTCTCAACGTTGGAGCCCTTGGCAATGTTTCTATTCACAATCCCCTTCACCAGTTCTTTTGCGATGTCATGGCCCTTGCTGGTGCTGAAAAGCTCCTCGAATGTGAGCTTGAGGAAGCGCTGCTTCGACTCGTCGGGCAGAGTTGCAACAATCTCATCAACACGCTCGTCGAACAGCACCAGGACGAATGAAATACCTTCAATGGTGTGTGAAACCAATTGAACCAACGAATGCAGCGCTCTGTGTTCGGCTTGTAGCGCCGTTTCTTCCTGCTTCGTCGACACGCGCGCCAAGGCTTCAGGACCGCTCAATCCCTCAATGAAACTCTTATTCGTCTTGAAGAAATTTTGCAGGGCAGACAGGTCACGCTGTACACTCTGCAGCTTCGTTGTCGCCACAGATGCCGAGATCGTCTGTGCACCATTCGGGCCGCTGCCGACCTTTGCGATTTCCTTCTTCCATATCGACCGAAGTAGCCTTGACATGTAGAGAGCGATTCCTGCATGCCTGGGCGATAGGATAACCGTGTCGATGGCTGGTGTGGAGCTGTCTGCGACCGCGTTTTCATTCACCGTCGGCCGGCCTCCATACTCGATGAACACTTTACGCGCGAACTCCAAAACATCAGGGTCATTGATCTGAGTTAGTCGTGAATCCGTTGAGACCTCGACTCCTTGTCCGCACGCGACTGCAAGCGCTGTCGCAAGAGTCTCGCTCCGGCCATACGTGCGGATGAAGTTCTTGATCTCGCCCTCGAGCCCCTCATCACCGCCACTACCACCACCCCGAACCAATGCAGCAAACATGTCAACGAGTCGCCGCCGGCGAATCACATGAATACCAGTGTTGGTCAGAATCGCAATCTCAGCCGCGGCGCTGTCAAACTGAACGGCAAGCTCGTTGCCAAATCCTCCCGGGGTCGAGGCAGCCGCGCTAGGCGCGGAGCAGAGGCCAACGTCCTCCGCCCTGCTACCTAAAGAGAGCCAGATGCCAGTCTCGCCTGCCTTTCCAGGAATGACATTCTCTTGAGAGCGAGCCACTCGGCCAGAGTCGGGAGAAGAAATGAAAAGTGTGTCGGTCTTTTGCGTGGGATCCTTGCACGTGAAGCAGAAGAAATACCCTGGCGGGTATCGCACGGTGAATCTGGTGGGATTGAGAGAATGAATGGGAACCCTAGATGCTCCGGAGGTCTGGAACCGGGGCTGACCCAGCTCCACTGGGGTAGAAGGAGGGTTGTCGAAAGGCGGAGTCTTCACATGATGCGCCTGCATGCTTGTCGGCGCATTCGTACCATGTGGAGCTGGCGACCAGCTATAAGACGCAGTCGCACTGAGATAGATACGGTAGCCGGTTGCGGTTGTGGCCATTAGATGGTATCTCGAGGCCTCGGCAGCTGGGATAGGGCTAATGGACACAATTGGAACTTTCGGGTTGAGGGTTTCGTTGGACGGAATGATGTGCCCAATGTTCGCGTAGATGTCCATGGCTGGTTTGGTAATAGCCAAAGCCAAGGTACCATCAGGTTTCATGTGGAAAACTCTAATGGTTGAAGATGACGACAAAGTATAGAGCAGTCTCCTTGTGTCGTCAATCTCCATCTGTTCCACCGTCTCAGTGGTCTTCTGAGTGAAACTCAGACTGGGCGTGAAAGCCGCGATGCGCGAACTGGTATGGTTGACTTTGGCGCACCTGCCTTGGAACCACCGTTCCTCCTGTTGATATGTGAGCTCATAGACATCGTTGTCGGTAGAGCCGCCGAAGAAGATACGACCGGTCGCATCCGACGAAGCGATCACATGGATATCCAAGCCACGAATAGCCACCGACATGCCGGTCTGATACAAGCTGACTTGTCGCGCACCCCCCGGCGTTGTTTCACAACCCATTCCCAGCAAAATGACCTCGGCAGTTGTTGATATAACAAGAAGGTGGGTAATTGAAGGCAGGAACACTCCGGCGCGAGGCTTCGCCAGCTTGACGGCATTGATACTATTGGGCTGGTCTTCAAACCCGACCAGTTGCGGATTCGGATGCGTATAGTCCCAGATGTAGAGCGCGTTGTCAATAGCAACCCAGGCGTGATTCAACTCGGCGAAGAGACCCATGCTGGTCGAAACCTGTGCTCGATTATACTGATCAAAGATCTGATCTGGAATATTATACATCTTCACTTTCTGAAAGGGCGCCCATGACGGTGAGGTGGGGATGTCGTAATCGGAAGAAAATCCTTCTGCGAAGGGACTGTCAGCCAGACCGAAAGAAGAACCAAGGCGATCAACATTTCCTTACGAGACAGGTAGCTATCCAGGTCGGGATACCGAGATTCCTGAACGAGCGTGTCGTTTACTGTGCCTGCAGCACGCTCCTCGATGCTCAGCGTTTGGCTCTGGGACTTCGATGCTGCCGGAGGAAGCTTCGGAAGAGAAGCTGGCGAAGCTCTCTCTGCCGGGGCAGGAGCTGGCTTGGGAGAGATGAGCGACATGTTCGATACATTCTTAGGTGCGGGAGTCTGGAAGAAAGCTCCAGGAAGATGTTTCTGAGGAGTTAGAGTCGGAAGATTGGGGTATGACATGGTTCTGTGCTGTCGCCGTCAACGGCTTAGGGAGAATATGTCGCGCTCCCCGGCGTGGTGGTACTTCGTTCGGCGAGGTAACGGTGAGGGAAGAACGATTTTAGAGGAAAAGAGAGGGCTGGAGACCAAGCATAAGCAAGTAACTAGGCGCCGTAGCAGATCAGGATTAGCATCAAAGAGTGTTGGTTCTCGTAAAACTATTACTATTATCGTATTGAGAGCCAATTGGGACAATGACAAAAAGCAGGTAACTGGCAGAATGGGAACTTCACAGCAGACAAGAAACAAAATTGTGCACGGACCAGACAAGATCAACAGCCCCAAGCAGCTTTCCGCCTTTTCTGTGTTCCCCGACAATGATTTCATTCCAAGTCCTCAATAAACATTGTTAGGCTCCACCCATGAAATTTGGGTTTATTCTAATTTTCTCAGCTCTTGTTTCTGATCAATCCAATCAATTGCTTGCGCTCCAGAAAAGAAAATGTTCAGAACTTTGAGGTCGACCAGTCGGCTGAACCTGAGTCCAGTGCGATGGAACTCGACCGCCAGTCCGGCTTCGCCGCCCTTAATGGCCAAAATTAGATCTGATCTCAAGGTTGCCATGAGGGCGAAGGATACGACCAGGTGATTCTCATACTACATTCGAAGATCTAAGTCCAACGTTAACTGAATTACGTCCAGATTGAACGTCCTTCGCGCGCTGATCTCGGAAACAAATAACGCCGCAAAGACCTCGTCGCCGATTCAGACAGACTTGCAATTGCTGTCGCTCATCCGAAAGCGTGCGGCTGCTGCCAAAGAGGCAGCAAAGCAATTCGCAGAGGCAGATCGGCCCGATTTGAAGGAGAAGGAAGATGCACAGGTCACGATCCTAGAGGAGTATGCCGGCAAAGTGGAGACGATGAGCCTGGAAGACATCAAGGCGATTGTGTCGCAGGAAGTCTCGAAGTTGAAGGAAGGCGGCAAGAAGGTCGAGGTCGGCGCTCTACTCAAGTCTCTCTTTGCTCCTGGCGGTGCCCTGGACCGCAAGCCTGCAGAGAGAGCCGAGGTTGCGAAGATCGCCAAAGAGGCCGTCGCTTCCGCTTGAGAAGAAATGATGTATCATGGAACCCCTTGTATTATGATGTAAAGTAGATCTTAGCCTTTCCTCTCTCTCTGTTCTCTTATCCGGCACCCAGGGACTGCCTTGAGGCGCGGAACAGTGAAAGAATTACTAATGACAGGTTGATTCCAGTCTCTGAGACGAAGACCTCCAACGCCAAGTGACGTGCAAGGATCTCCGTTGCAGTATATGATGATTTGTGTACGTCAAGATCTCGAACACCAATGTTCCCAAAATGCCAATGCATAATGCACCTGAAAGAGCCATTGCAGTCTAGAAAATCAAGAATAGATCAAAGCAATTCCGCCCATAGCAGTCATCAGAATACCAAACCATAGCCATCTGTCCGGGTCGCCGATGTGATCGCTCCGAATCAGAGTGTCCATGCCCACAGGAGACCCTATATCTCGGGCAATATGGCGCTTACTCTTACCCGTCTCCGAGCTGACCGGGTTCAAGGTCGTCGTGGGTAACATCTGAGGAGGTTTAAAAATAAGATACATTGGAGGCATTGGGGTCTCGTCGAATGCCTTGAGATCCAAACGTTTGACATGGTGGTATGAGTCTATGGAGACTGTGAATGACTACAACCCACAGTTAGCAACGGTATCAAGGGATGCAACAGGTCCTCAGCGTACACTAAAAGCCTCGGTCTGGTTGTATCTTGTGTACATGCCCACGTCCTTTGAGCATGGATCTGATACCAACTGGCGGCCATCGACCGCGATTGGGGTCATCTTGATGGATCCATCTGGCATCACAGCATATTTGCCATGCTGCCACAGCATGATACCTTTAGGACAGGAAGGCGTTGTGGCTGATGAATATAAGTCATGTCAGAAAACAGCCTCAGACGAGGAAGCGTGGGGAGCAACTGACGGTTGGCAACAGCCCGGTAGTACGCCTGTTCATAGTATCCATCAGCAGTAAATGAATATGAAATGCCAGTAAGACTTGGTTCGAGCAGTTTGTCGTCGATAGGATCATAGAAATCCTGCAAGGTACAGCGAGACGTTAGAGATTGCTGCAGACCACTCGGGAAGATCAGCGACTGTGCGCCTGCAGAGAGCCTACCGGGCCTGTCACAACACTGCGAGACTTAGTTGTCCAAGTTCCAACCAGATCAGCAACACTCCTGGCCCTGACCACGGCGACGAGGAAGCTGAGCAGCAAGTATCCGACATTCATCTTTCAGCGTATCCAAGCGAGAGCCTAGCAGCGTTAGGTAGCGCGAGGTGTAGAAAGATGATGAACAACCCGTGAAGGGACGCCATGTTGAGCGACAACCTGCCCTTCATTGCAGTGAAGGAGGTAAACCATGGCTGGTATGTAGAATTACCTGGCCCTGTCGATCCAGCCATGCGGATACTCCACATAACAATGTGCCAAGACGTGGTGACCTTCGTTCGGGAATATCGGAGAATACCGAGGGCCAAATCGCATCGACGGAATATTGATCAAACATATTCATGCCCTTTGAACAATATTGATCACGTCTTGAAGTGTTTAAAGAATGCGCATCGATACCATATTCTGCCAGCCGTCGCAATAATGATGGCTTCCGGTCTACAGACAGCTAAAAGGGACCTCCGCAAGAAGATCCGCGATGTTCTTCAGAAAACCCCCAATGAGTCAATCGTTCATCAATGTCAGACACTCTTCTTATCACCAACACATCCACAGTGAGCTAACAGAACATAGCCAGAGTCGCTACGGATAAGCTATTCTCCCTCACTGAGTATCAAAATGCCAAGAGGATCGGTGTCTACCTGTCCATGCCTTCGGGTGAACTTTCAACTACGGCCATAGTCCAGGACGCCTTGTCTCACGGCAAAGAGGTATTCGTGCCGTATATTCATAGCATAGACTCGCCGTCATCGACGCAGAAGAAGACCTCCATCATGGACATGTTGCTTCTGCAGTCTATGGAAGAATTCACGTCTCTTGAACCTGATAAGTGGGGAATACCATCGCTCACCAAGGCCCAGGTTGAGAACAAGAGAAACTGTTTTGGGACAATAGGTGTCTCCCCAAAGACGGTGGAGGATGCTACGCAGAGATTCGAGGGGCTTGATTTGATAATCATGCCTGGAATGGCCTTCGATCAAGGGTTCCGAAGACTGGGTCATGGTAAAGGTTACTATGATCATTTCTTGACGAGGTACTCGAAAAAAGTAGCCGAGAAAAAGACGACAACATCAAAAATGCCTTTACTCGGTGAGGAGCAGCCGCATCCGAAACCCAAACTCCCGTAAAATGATCTTACTAATTCCATATAGTTGCCCTGTCCCTCAAAGAGCAAATGCTTCCCTTGAATGAAGAAATACCCGTTGCGGATCACGACTGGCCAGTAGATATGCTCGTTATCGGTGACGGCCGCTTTCTTGTTCGCCAATCCTGATATTACCACTCGGGGAAAGAGTCTTCACATAGCAAAGAACCCGTCTATTCACTTAAGCATAAAACTGTCCTTCAGCGGCAAATCGTAAAGTATATGGCTGTGTGGAAATCGAAGCCGCCGTAGATGAATAGAAACTTTTTCCTCCTTTCGTGGTAGAATCACTGGACCGCTTGGATGAGAGACACGTTGTCGCCCTTAAGCAGAATTTGACCTGTGACGAACACGCGGGTTAGCAATAGCACTCACTTGCGATATCAAGTACTCAGTGGTAGCAGTTCATACCCAGAGGTCTCCGCTTCTCCTCATCAGTCTTTGTAGCCATTCTCACTTCCACCGCATCATCAATGACCAAGTTCATGAACTCATCGAATCCCTAGCGCATGTTGTTAGCTTGATAACGAGTTGCAAGGAAAGGAAAGGAATCGTACCCTAATCTTTCCCTCTATCCGGAACGCCAACTGCTCGTAGAGCCAAATAGAAACGGTCGTTCGTTGCTGCAGAAGCTTGAAGATGAAGTGAATTGGCGCAAGCAGCGTCTTGCGACCACCTCCACCGCCTGCTCGACCGGACATGATTGACACGCGACGTGGGAAATTGCTAAAAGAACGTAGCTGGCACTGAAACTGATTGGGCACCGTTCGACAGTGTCGTTGTTAATTGTAGAATTAGCGTTGAGGCTCTGTCCGTGGTGGTGGTTATTAGGCAAAGCTAGGCTGGTTGAAGGAGGTTCCTTCACCCGCACGTTTTCTTTGGCCGCCTTGGGGGACGATTGCGGCTCACCAACTTTTCCGTTTGAGTTTCTCGTCACCACATCCCACTTTCCCTACTACGTAAGGACGGTTGCCCGATCTATCAGTCCACTACGTTTATTGAATACCGGTGCCTGAAGCAATCGTTTCGTCTCTCGTCTGATGCTCATTTTAATGAGTGTACATGACATTTTCCAATAGTTTTTGAGCCTTTCCGGCCGGATTGACCCCTCCACTTCCGTCTCCTATACACTAGATCAAAATAATCCCACCTCCGTCGAACATGGCCAGTAAGGAAGGGGCCGCAGGACAGGCCTTTGGTCCTGTCCTCGCAGCAGTCGCTACAATGCAAGGAAACGTATCACGAAGTGAGAAGACACATGCTCATGAGTTCCTTGAAAAGTTCCAGAAGTCCGTGAGTTGGACCCTCGATCGCACCCCACACGGATTCACAGAATTTCTGCCTGACACTTGATATTTCTATCTAGATCGAAGCTTGGAGTATCACCCATGAGCTGTTACAGTCGCCGGATGTCCCTGTTGAAGCAAAGTTGTTCGCAGCGACCACACTGAAAGGGAAGGTACAGCAACCTATGCCATGGTGGTCAGGGAATGTGGTGCATAGGAATGCTGACCTTAATAGATCATATTCGATTTAGATCAACTACCGACGGAGTCTGTAGTTGCTTTGAGAGACTCTGTGCTGAACCTCCTCGTGGCCTATGCATCTGGTCCACGGCCGATACAGACACAGCTGTGCGTGTGTCTGGCGAGCCTTGCAATTCAGATGACCGAGTGGAAAGATGTCCTTGCTACCGTCGGCTCGGCTCTAGGAAGCAGCGCCGGTGACTGTGTCCTAGAATTCCTTAAAATCCTACCAGAGGAAGTGACCGAGGGTCGCAAAATCAATCTCAGTGTACGTTCCGGCAGAACCAACGCCTCACCACTCATAATCCAGTCTCAACGGATCGGCATAATCCAGGATCAGTGAAACAGACTCTAATGCAGATGTCTCATTATAGGAAGAGGATCTTACGATGAGGACTAAGGAGTTGTTGGAAGACAATGCGGAGCAGGTGATGCATCTACTGATCCAATATGCCCAGTCATCCCGTAAGTACGCATCTGTCATTTCTCAAGGCGCTATATACTAATTCGTGTCCACCTCTTCTCGTTTAGCAACAGCATCGACCAACCCACGTCTCTTGGACTGTATAACCTCTTGGATGCGCGAGATCCCGGCCGCGAAAATTGTTGAATCGCCTTTGATGGATGTCATCTTGAAAGCATTGGACAACGATGTCTCCTTCGAATCGGCTGTTGATAGCATGTGCACCCTCTACAGGGATACGCGAGAAGTCGATGAATCGGTGTCCATCATTCAGGCTCTATACCCACGGTTATTGGCTCTGCGTCCAAAGATCGCGGAATTCGCCGAGGCAGAAGATACAGACGCGTTCAAGGGTATCACCAGGCTTTTTGCAGAGGCCGGTGAGGCTTGGGTCGTAATGATTGCCCGCCTACCTTCCGAGTTCCGCGGTCTAGTGGAAGCGGTCCTTGAATGCTGCGCCCGTGACTGGGAGCACGACGCAGTCTCTCTTACTTTTGTTTTCTGGTACGAGCTGAAGCAATACGTCACACTCGAGCGATACGGAGACGCGCGTGTCGCTTTCACCGACGTATTCTCAAAGCTGGTGGACATCATGGTCAAACATCTTGAATACCCCCGTCCCGAAGAGGGCGAAACCGATCTATTCGGTGGTGATCGGGAACAGGAAGAGAAATTCCGCCATTACCGCCACTCTATGGGTGACGTACTCAAGGATTGCTGCGCCGTCATCGGTGTTACTGAGTGCTTGTCAAAGGCCAACGCGTTGATTCAACAGTGGGTCTCCAAGTACGCATCTCAGGCGAGCGACCAACATGTCCCTCACTGGCAGGAACTTGAGGCACCACTTTTCAGTTTGCGGGCAATGGGCCGCATGGTCGACCCTGAGGAAAGTACATTACTTTCGCAGATTATTCCATTGATTGTTCAAATACCCAATCAGGAGAAGGTGCGATTCCAAGCTATCATGGCGCTCGCACGTTACACGGAGTGGACCGCTCAACATCCCGAAACCCTGGAAGCACAACTCAACTATGTCATCTCTGGCTTCCAGCATAGTTCTCCCGAGGTCGTGCAGGCTGCCGCCTTAGCATTCAAGTTCTTGGGTACAGACTGTCAGAAGCTACTGGGAGGGCACATTCCGCAACTTCATTCCTTCTATGAATCGGTCATCGATAAGTTGAAGCCGGCCAGCCAGGAAGAAGTCACGGAAGGTGTTGCTGCTGTTGTTGCTGTTCAACCACTTGACAAGATCTACGAAACTATGAAGTTGTTTTGTGATCCCATCATGGCACGGATCATGAATCTGGCCAACAATGCGAGCGATGAGCAAGGCCAGCGCGCTGTTGCCGGTACGTTTGACTTGCATTTTTCACATATTTCGCAAGCAGTAGCTGACCAATCCCTATGCAGATCACTTGCAATTGATTACAATCTTTGTGCAAGTTGTGAATCCTTACGTTGGCCCGAACGAAGACAACCCGGCCGTCAAGTATTGCGGCGAGATTCTGCCCATCATGACGACGATTGTTATGAATTTCACTTCGTCCACTCCCATATTGGAGCGTGTCTGCCGTTGCTGGCGGTATATGATCATCTCGTACCGAACTGCGATGATTCCTCTGCTGCCCACGCTGGCCCAGAGCATTGCCAACGGATTCGAGGCTTCACGGGAAGGATGTTTCTTGTGGGCCACCGATGCTGTTGTGCGCGAGTTTGCTGAAGGGGCCGAGTTCGTCGACCGGTCGACAAGCAATGCTGTCTTCCAGTTCTACGAACAACAGGCAGTTGCTTTTCTACGGATCCTGAATGAGCTGCCACCGGAAAATCTGCCCGATGGTAAGCTCTATTGGTCTAGTAAGACTTTGTTATGGTACGCTAACTTTTTATGCAGTCATCGAGGACTTTTACCGGCTTTCTTCGGACGCTGTCCGGTTCTACCCCAAAGAGTGCATCACCTCGTCCCTCGCAGTGCCCATTTTTTCTGCGGCGCTCAGCGCCCTCACTCTCCAGCAGATTGATCCTCTGATTGCGACACTGCACTATTACCATGATCTATTCAGTTTTGCATTCGAAAAGCCTGCCGTCTCGGAGTTCACCAGCTCTGACGGGGATTCATACACGAATCCACCTGAGGTCAGAGAGGCTGTCAAGCAGTTGATCCTTGCTCAAGGTCAGGTTCTTACCCAGAGGATTCTAACTGGGATGATGTTCACATTCCCTGGGGACTGCTTCGCGGACGCTTCGGGCGTTATGATGACTCTCTTTGACTTGGTGCCCCAAGAAGCTGGGGCATGGGTGCAGTCCACGCTCCAGATGCTGCCGGCCGGGACCATGAAGCCAGGGGAGGCAGAGCGGCTGCTGAAAGGCATCGCGGACAAAGTGCAGACCAGGGAAATCCGGAAGATCAGATCTCTACTTCAAGGTTGGACCAAGCCCCAAGGCTCAACAGTCTCTATTACGACTAACAGCATCTTACAGACTTTACTCATTCATATCGCCGACGAAACGTGGCGCCTCGTGAGGGCTTAGGCCGGTTGGAGGCTACTCGGTTCCGCTTTAGCGGATAGATTTGAGACCAGAACTTCAGACTGAGCATTTCCAAGTGAGAAGTTCATGAGCGGGGACACATTATAGACAATCCCCATCATCCACCTTCGCTCAGCCTCTTGGCGAAAATGTCCTCTGAGTGGTCGCCACGGCGACTGCATGCGTCATGAGAGCAGGCAAGGGTCCATGGGGGATTTCATGTGTTAGAATCCGACCCGGTATGTTCTTCCCGGCAACCATACACAATCTGCGGACGTTCAGAATCCACGCAACATGATGGATGAGCACTCCGGAACAACACATGAGGGGGCGGCGACACATGCCACCGTCCGGTCCTGTAAGATTTTGATACCATAGCATTTAGCAACCTTAGAAATGGAACGGCGCAGATGCGACCCCAGGAACAACCAACTCCTCCTCTCTATTTTTTGCTTTTTCTTCCTTTCTCTCTTGTCTCGTTGCTTTTTTCTTGAGCGTGGCGCGATGCAGGCACGCTACTGCCGATATCGGCACTTAAATGTGAAAGCAAGCCTACAGACCGATCGTTGCCCCGGTACGCCAGCCAACTGCATTACCCAGGTAGATCCGACATTATTATGGTAGACGCGGTACGCTTCTATCTTGTGGGTCTAGCTTGACTCGTTGGCAGATGATCACCCTTGAGTCTTTGACATGAAACGTAGCTAACAGGCAACTACAGCCTTACAGTAGAATGCCGGATCGGTTCACCGATGAACTTATAGTGAAGGCAGCGTTGCCATTGCCTAGCCATTCACAAGCCTACGTTCATGCCAACAGTAGCAAGGTGACGATCCTTGATTCTGTGGCGGCCTTACTATCTGGAACTCTGACCGTTGATCACACTGCAGATCATATTATCAAGTTGAGTCGGTCCTGGGGTACTCA